AGCAGCAGCAGCAGCAGCAGCAGCAGCAGCAGCAGCAGCAGCAGCAGCAGCAGCGGCGGCAGCAGCAGCGAGCAAAGCGCAGAGCGTGAGGACTTCTCGGGCATTGACTGGAGCCTTTCCCCTGCAGCTGTTTATTTCACTTAATGCATTTAATTCATTAATGCATTGCATGCATTTAATTCATTTAATTCATTTAATTCATTTTAATTTATTTAATTTATTTAATTTATTTAATTTGGAAGTGAACTCCATCACCATGTGTTTGCTCTCGGCCGCACACGCATGCGTTTCGGGTGTACGTACACCCGAAGCGCATGCAAATGCTGCAAACGAATTTTCCTCTTTTTGCACTTTGGAGAATAATTTGGAAATGTTTTTTATAAAGCTTAAAAGTATTTATTTTTTAAAAAAGAAAATTCAAAAAGGAAATTAAAAAAGGTTTTATTTGAACAGCAAAATGCACCAGCCCTATTCGCTGCGGTGTCTGTACACCCCAGAGCCCCGTGAGCTCCGCCGCAGCAAAACTAGCAGCAGCAGCAGCAGCAGCAGCAGCAGCAGCAGCAGGGGCATAGCAGCAAAAACAGCAGCAGAGCCAGCGACAGAAGAAGAACCCAAAGCAGCAGCAACAGCAGCAGCAAAATAAGCAAAAGCTGCAGCAACAGCCGCAGCAAAAGCTGCAGCAAAGACTACGACGAAAATGCTAGTTCAGCAAGTCCTAGCATAATGCCCAGCAAAACTCAAGCAGCAGCAGCAGCAGCAGCAGCAGCACCAGCAGCCGCTCCAACAGCTGCTAGCAGCACTCAGTCGCAGCAACGAAAGCTGCAGCAGCAACAAAAGCTGCAGCAGCAGCAGCAACAGCAAAAGCAGCCTCTGCAAGGCCAAACAAGTTTACAAGGGAAAAAATGAAGACAGTTGTTTGCATAAATATCAAACGGAACAGCGAGTCCCTTCGACGTCGCCCTGCTGCTGCTGTTGCTGCTGCTGCTGTTGCTGCTGCTGCTGTTGCTGCTGCTGCTGTTGCTGCTGCTGCTGCTGCTGCTGCAAGGGGGCCAACGGCAAAGCTCAGTCTGTCTCTTTTGGAGGGTCTGCAGCCTTTAGGGGTAACAGCCGCGTCCCAGTTCATCTAAAATGAAGCAGCCTAGGCTCAGCAAGCTAGCTAGCTAGCCAGCTAGCTAGCTAGCTAGCTAGCTAGCTAGCTAGCCAGCCACTAGCTGCAAGCTGCAGGGCAGCAGCTCGCTGCGCTGCTGCCCATCCCCTCAGCCTCTCCGCAGCTGCTCGATTCCCACAGGCTCGCTGGCTTTGAAGCTAGCTAGCTAGCTGGCAAGCTAGCTGGCTAGCTAGCTAGCTAGCCAGCCAGCTAGCTAGCTAGCCACCTCGGGGCAACTTGTACGCAGGCGGGAAGGCGACGAACAATGAATCAAACGGACCACGCGACTGCTGTGTCTGGCCAGCTAGCCAGCTAGCTGGCTAGCTAGCCAGCTAGCTCGCTAGGCAGCTAGCTAGCTAGCTAGCTAGCCAGGCAGCTAGCTAGCTAGCCATCTAGCCAGCCACCCAGCCAGCTAGCCAGCTAGCCAGCTAGCCAGGAAGCCAGGCAGCCAGGCAGCTAGCCAGCTAGCTAGCCAGCTAGCCAGCTAGCTAGCCAGCTAGCCAGCTAGCCAGCTCGCCAGCTAGCTAGCTAGCTAGCTGGCTATCTGTTTCGGTAAGAAAAGGCTCCAAAGAGGGCCCCCAGGACCCCAAACAGCAGCAGCAGCTGCTGCGGTGGAACGTCGCTGTTAAGAAGGGCACGATCGTAGTGAGCCAGAAGCCCCACAGCAGCAGCAAAAAGGGGCAGCAGCAGCAGCTTCGCGGGGCCCCCGGGGGGCCCCCCGGGCGGCCCTGAGGTTGTCCTTTATGATATTGCGGCGCAGCGAAGGCTGTTTGCTGCGCTGCAGCAGCTGCTGCGCCCTGGCGAACTGCTGCAGCAGCAAATTGTGGCTGCGGAGATTTGCAAAGAACTCGAGAGCTGCCACGAGGCCCAGTCCTGCTGCAGCAGACCCCAGCAGCTGCCCCCCCCTGCTGGGCGGCTCCAGCAGCAGCAGCAGCAGCAGCGCAGCAGAACTCAGCAGCCCCAGCAGCCCCCGCAGCTGCAGACGCGGCGGCAGCAAATCTGCGGTGGCTGTTGTCGAAGCCTCTTCCCCTTCTAGGGGGGCCCCCCAGGGGCCCCCCTCCCAGGGGCCCCCCAGGGGGCCCCCTGAGGGGCCCCCCTGGGGGGCCCCCCAGGGGGCCCCCGGGGGGGCCCCTCGGTCCGCCCGGGCTGGGGGGGCCCCTACGGCCTGTGAGCCAGGCCCTGGGTACAGCACTGCCGGGGGGGCCCCTGCTGCCAGGGGGGCCCCCATGGGCTGGGCAGGCAGGGGGGCCCCCAAGGGGGCCCCTGCGGCCAAGAGGGGGGGGGCCCCTGGGTACCCAGGGAGAGGGGGCCCCGGGGGGCCCCCTGAGACCAAAGGAGGGGGGGCCCCTGGGTACCCAGAGAGTGGGGGGGCCCTCTGAGGAGTCGGGGGCCCCGAAAGGAGAGGCGAGGGGGCCCCTGCATGCAGCAGCGGCACATCAGCAGCAGGCTGCAGCCTGCTGCTGCTGCTGCTGCCGAAGCGAGGGTAGGGGGGGGCCTCCTGAGACAGGAGCTCCTGGGCATCTGTCGCAGCAGCAGCTGCTGCTGCAGACTCAGCTGGGGACGCTGCTGCTGCTGCTGCTGCTGCTGCAACTGCTGCTGCTGCTGCTGCTGCGCAAAAGCAGCCAAAGTGCCTCCAAAGGACGCCGCAGCGCCCCCAGCCACAGGGGCCCCCAGCAGCACGAGCGCCCATTCGCCAGCAGCAGCCCTTGAGCTTTCCTTTTGCTGCTGATTCTCCCATTATAAATAAAATATATTATTATTAAATTTATTATTATTATTATTCTTTTATTTGTTGGAAAGGGGGAAGAGATAGCGAGAGTTGCTGCTGAAGCGCTGCCCGCGAGTCACGGCGAGCCGCAGCAAGCCGCCGCAGAAAAGCCGCGGCTCGGGCGGGAAAAGGCGAATAAATCTGAAATTTGAACGTCTTTTTGAATTTAAAACTTCTTTTTGAATTCAAAATGCTTTTTGGAGTCGAAATTCGAAAAGAGAACTTAAAAAAACGTAAGGGAACAGCAGACGCGCCGGCTCTGCTCTTGAGGCCCCAGCGCGCCGGCTGCAATCGAGGCTGCGGTGGGCCCCCCGGGGCCCTCGAGTGCCTCTTTGGCGCAATTAAATTCAACTTTGAGGAATTATTTGTTAAATTAATTCCAAAATAAATCCTTTTCCAACAAAAACTGCGAAGAAGACACTCAGGGGCGTGCGCGGGGCCCCAACAGCAGCAGCAGCTACTGCTGCTGCCTGGGGCTTCCTCCGCATGCAACTTTGCTGCAGCAGCAGCCCTGCATTTCTTCTCATTTATTTCCCAAGGGACTTCTACAAATCCAAAAAGCAGCAGCAGCAACTGCTGCAGCAGCAACTGCTGCTGCTGCTGCCGCCGCAGATAATGCTTGAGAAGCAGTACTTTGCTGCACTTAGACACAAGCGCGCACAAGCAGCAGCAGCTGCAGCAGCTGCTGCAGCAGCAGCTGCAGCAGCAGCTGCTGCAGCAGCAGCTTGAAACAGGAGCAGCACAAGGGGCTGCAGCAGCAGCCGTGGGAGGCACCGAACGCGCAGCAGCTGCTGCAGCAGCTGCTGCACCAGCTGCAGCAGCAGCAGCCCCGGAAGCAGCTGCAGCAGCAGCCGCTGCACCCGGCGCGCTGCTGCAGCGACTCAATGTTGTGGGCCCCACAAATCGATTCGCTGCCTCTCCCACCAGCTAGCTAGCTAGCTGCTAGCTAGCTAGCTAGCTAGCAGCTAGCTAGCTGCTAGCTAGCTAGCTAGCAACGCAGCAGCTTCGCTGTCTAGCTAGCTAGCTAGCTAGCCAGCTAGCTAGATCACTAAGAAGTTTGTTGGCTAGCTCCAGTTAGCTATCTGACTAGCAGCTAGCTAGCTATCTATCTAGCTAGCTAGCTAGCTAGCTAGATAGCTAGATAGATGGCTAACTGACCAACAAAGCAGCTAGCTAGCTAGCTAACCAGCTAACAAACTAGCTGGCTAATTAGCTAACTAGCTAGCTGGCTAGCTAACAAATTAGCTAGCTAGCTAGCTAGCTAACTTGTTAGCTAGCCAGCTAGGTAGCTAGCTAGCTAGCTAGCTAGGTAGCTAGCTGGCTAGCTAGCTAGGTAGCTAGCTGGCTAGCTAGCTAGGAAGCTAGCTGCCTAGCTAGCTAACTAGCTAGGTGGCTAGCTGGCTAGCTAGCTAGCTAGCTAGGTAGCTAGCTGGCTAGCTAGCTAGCTAGCTAGCTGGGGCGCTGAAGTGGTGTTGGGCTTAAAGACAATAAATTGGGCGCTGCGGCGGTTTCTTTTGAAGCGCCCGAGCCCTAAGAAAAACCTAAAGCAGCAGCAGCAGCAGCAGCTGCTGCTGCTGCTGCTGCAGCAGCTGCTGCAGCAGCCGCAGCTGCTGCTGCTGCTGCACCTGTACAGAGACTGGCTTTTGCGCTTTTGTCGGTGCGGCGCCAGCGCCCTGCGCCGTACGTACACCGCAGAGGCCCAGTCCCTTGCTGCTGCTGCTGCTGCTGCTGCTGCTGCTGCTGCTGCTGGTCTTCTGCAGCCGCAGCACTTGAGGCATTAAAGAAAAGCTAGCTAGCTGGCTAGCTAGCGAGCTAGCTAGCTAGCTAGCTAGCTGTTGCTGAGCAGTGTCGTTGCACAGTTCCCCTGAAGACGCATAAGGCCTGCGGCGCGTGCGCCTGCAGCAGCAGCTGCTGCTGCAGCTGCTGCTGCTGCTGCCCCCCGCCGCCGCCGCCGCCGCTGCTGCTGCTGCTGCTGCTGCTGCTGCTGCTGCTGCTGCTGTTAGAAGCTGCGGAGGAGCTCGGCGAGGGGGCCCCCCGCGCCGCCGACGAGGGAGAGGAGGCCCCCCAAGGTGAAGAGAACAGCAGCAAGAAAAAGAGCAGCAGCAAAAGTAAATCCCAAAGTTGCAAAAAGTCCAGAAACAATAAAGAAGATGGGAGCAGCAGCAAGGAGGCCCCTGAGGGCCCCCCGGAGTTGCTGCAGCAGCGCGCGGCGGGCGCCGCGGATGCCGCCGTAGTCGACCACGGCGCGCAGCCGCTGCTGCTGCTGCTGCTGCTGCTGCTGCTGCTGCTGCTGCTGCTGCTGCGGGGCGAGGTCTATGGAGACGCGGAAGCGGCCCTGGGGACTGAAGAGGGACTGCAGCAGCTGCAGCAAACCCAGCAGCGCGAGAGTAACAGCAGACTGCTGCGCCAGAGTCAGGGGGCCCCCCCCTTTTGCTGGCAGCAAATAAAGAAACAGCAGCAAACCGAAAAAGAGGCTTTTGAGGCCCCGCAGCAGCCGCCGCTGCCGGTCCAGCTGCGGCAGCAGCAGCCGCCCCACAGGCTGCCCGTTCGGCAGCAGCAAAGTCACTTCATCTCCTTCCAGACTTTCTTCCAAAGAGTCTTCGTCTTCGGAGGCTTCGGAAGCAGCAGCGTCTGCTTCCAGTTGCTGCTGCAGCAGCAGCGGCGCCGCTTCTGCTGCTGCTGCTGCTGCTGCTGCTGCTGCGGCTGCGGCTGCGGCGCGGGACGCAGCTGCAGCGGGAGCCGCAGCGCCCTCCGACGCCTCTGCAGCAGACGCCGCGGGGGCCTCCAGCGGGATCGGGGCGTCTGCTGCTGCTGCTGCTGCTGCTGCTGCTGCTGCTGCTGCTGTGGTGGGCGAGGGTATTGCTGCTGCTGCCGGAGTGGGGTCGGGGGAGGCTGCAGCAACGGCAGCCTCCTCGGTGACCAGGGGCTCCAGAAGGTCTGCTGCGCTGCTGCTGCCGGCTGCTGCTGCTGCTGCTGCTGCTGAGGCCCCCGCAGCTGCTGCTGCTGCGCTAGACAGCAGCAGCAAACAAAGGGCAAGGCCCCCCTGGCTTCTGAAGAGACTCAGACAAATCATTTTTTAATTTTTAATTTTCAACTTGAAGAATAATTCGGAATTTGCATGCACACTGGCTGCTAGACCCCACAGGGGCTAGTCGCAGCAGCAGCAGCAGCAGCAGCAGCAGCTGCTGCAGCAGCAGCAGCGCGGCACAGCGCGCAGCAGCTGCAGCAGCACCACTCCAGTGCAGAATATTTTCAAAACTTTCTTTAATATTTATTTTTTAATGAAATAATTCTTTCAAATAAAGCAGCAGCAGCTGGCAGCTAAAGACTTGGGATCGCCACACGATCCCAGGCGATCCCGCGGGCCGGGTCGTGTGGCGTCTTCGCTGCTGCTGCTGCTGCTGCTGCTGCTGCTGCTGCTGCTGCTGCTGCTGAGACATGCAAACACCCCTCCCGCAGCTTTCTAGAAGCCTCGGGGGCCCTGAGTTTAATTTAAAAAATAAAATGGAATTTGATTTGCTGCTTCCCTTGCCCCGCACATGCAGCAGCTTTGCAGGGGGTCTGCGAGCTAGCCACAGCTAGCTGCTGCTGCTGCTGCTGCTGTTGGTGCTGCTGCTGCTGCAGCAGCAGCAGCAGCTGCAGCAACTGCGCTTTTCAGCCAGAAAATCAGTAGCAAGCTCCCACACAAAGCTAAGGCCCTGCTGCGGGCCCTGCGGCCCTGGAGGCAGCAGCTGCTGCTGTCTGGCATCAGCAGCAGCAGCAGCAGCAGCAGCAGCAGCAGCAGCAGCAAGACGCAGCAGGATGGCTCGCGAGCCTCACAGGAATGCGTTTGAAAGAAACTGTGTGTTGTTTCTGCTGCTGTTGCTGCTGCTGCTGCTGCTGCTGCGGGGCGCTGTGGGGCCGCCTCTGGGGTTCTTTTTAAAAGTGTCCTCTTCCCCTGGAGACAAATAATTAAAAATTAAATTGTTAAGTCCATTTTAAATTAAATTTAATTTATTAAATTTAATTTAATAAAAGAATAATAATAAAATCAACGCAGCAAACTGGGCTGAAGCCACAGGGGCAAGCAGCAGAAGCAGCAGCAGCAGCAGCAGCAGCAGCAGCAGCAGCAGCAGCAGCAGGTGTTGCTGCGGCAGCTAGGCGAGAGTTGTAGCTCTTGCTGCTGCTGCTGCTGCTGCTGCAGCGGCCGCCTTCCCCGCTAGCCAGCTGTAGCTAGCTGCAGCTAGCTGCAGCTAGCTGCAGCCAGCTGCAGCTGGCCTGCTGCAGCCAGCACCAGCTGGCTTGCTGCAGTCAGCTGCAGCAGGGCCAGCTGGCTGGCTAGCTGGCTGGCTAGCTGGCTAGAAACGAACCAGCTGGCCAGCTAGCTAGCCAGCCAGTTGGCCAGCAAACTAGCTAGCCAGGCTGGCTAGCTGCTGCAGCTAGCTAGCTAGCCAGGCTGGCTAGCTGCTGCAGCTAGCTAGCCAATTAGCTGCAAGTGGCTGAAAGCCAACAAGGCCCCAGCTAGCCATCTTTATTTAGTTTGCCTTTCATTTGTGGGGCTTTTGGCCTGCGGGTCGCAGCCAGCTGCTGCAGGAGCTGCGCATGCAGCCCCATTTAATTATTATTTATTTTAATTGTTATAAATTAATTATTTATTTTATTTTTTCAATTATTTCCAGCAAAGTCCGCAGCGCAGCACTGCGAGGTGCAGCGGGGCTCCTGCTCGGCTGCGCAGGCTGCGCCGACCCCCCAGAAAGCTGCAGCGGTCAAAAGCCCTTAAAAATGGACTTCTTTGATTTAAATCTTTTCAAAATGAAAAAGAAATAAATGGGAAATAAATAAGAAAGAAATGTTCGATCCAAATCCTCACAAAGTGCCGCGCAGCCCGCAGAGCCCACAGCGGGAGCGAAACCGGTTGTGAGACTCAGGCCACCTTCCGCGAAGCCCCCAGCGGGCTTCTTCCGTCTTTGTCTTCTTTCTTTGTTTTTAAATTGTTAATTTTGAATTTTAATCCTTTAAAAGGTGCATTTCTCGGGAAGAACTGCAGCAGAAGCTCCCCCGCAGCAGCAGCAAGCCGCGGGGCCCGTGGGGCTGCTGGCTGGAGCCCCACGCAAGAATTGGCTTTTGTTTGTCTTTTGCAAAGCCTTTAAAGCTTCAAATAAATCCATTTAGGGACAAAGAAGACGCAATGAAAACAGCGGCAGTCTGCTGCCCTGCTTAGAGCGCCGTTTTCCCGCTGCTTCCCCACAGCTGCTGCTGCTGCGCTGCTCTCCCGCAGCTGCTGCTTCCCGCGAAGCCTTTCTGCTCCTTCCTTCGCCTCTTTCGCTCCTTTATTATTTATTTTATTTATTTTATTTATTTTATTTCTTCTTTTCAGTAAAATGGCTGCTGAAAAGGAAGTCAATCCCAAAGCCTACCCCCTCGCCTCCTCCGAGCTCACCAACTCCATCCTGGACACAGTGCAGCAAGCCTGCAGCTACAAGCAGCTAAAGAAGGGCGCCAACGAAGGTGAGCTGTGGCCTGCGTCTGTCTAGCTTTGCTGCAGCAGCTGCAGCAGCAGCAGCAGCAGCAGCGGGGAAGGGAGTTGCGTGCTGCTGCTGCTGCTGTGGGCGGCTGCGCAGCAACTAAGGGCCTCAACAGGGGCATTGCGGAGCTGGTGGTTCTTGCTGCTGACGCGGAGCCTCTGGAGATTTTGCTGCACCTTCCTCTGGTCTGTGAAGACAAGGTAACCTGCTGCTGCTGCTGTGCTGCTGCTGCTGTGCTGCTGCTGCTGTGCTGCTGCTGCTGCTGTGCTGCAGCTGTGCTGCTACAGCTGTGCTGCTGCTGCTGCTCTCCCTTCCTGCCGCCGCCGCCGCTCGCGCGCAGCCCCCGCCTGCGCGCAGCCCCCGCCTACCCCCCCCCCCCCGCTGCTGCTGCTGCCGCTGCTGCTGCTGCTGCTGCTGCTGCTGCTGCTGCAGAACGTGCCTTACGTGTTTGTGGAGTCGAAGATAGCGCTGGGCCGCGCCTGTGGGGTTTCGCGGCCAGTCATCGCCTGCTGCATCACCAGCAAAGACGGCAGCGCTTTAAACCCCCAAATAGCTTCTCTCAAGAACAGCATCGAGGCCATGCTCATCTAGCTGCTGCTGCTGCTGCTGCTGCTGCTGCTGCAGTTGCTGCAGCAGCAGCTGCTGCGGCTGCTGCTGCAGTTGGTGCTGCAGGGGCTGCTGCGGCGGCGGGGCGGAATTTGCTGCTGCGGCTGCTGCAGGTGCGGCTGTAGCCGTGCAGCACGGGCGGCTGGGGAGCAGCAGCAGCAGCAGCAGCAGCTGCTGCTGCTGCTGCTGCTGCTCGAAAATGTTTGGTATTCGAGGGAGGGACTGCGGCCCTGTGCTGCAGCATCTGCTGCAGCTGCTGCTGCTGCATTTGCTGCAGCTGTTGCTGCTGCAGCTGCAGTAGCAAACGTGGGCTGCCGCTCCAGGACAGCAGATGCAGCAAAGGTATTGTTTCTTTTAGAGCTGCTGCTGCTGCTGCTGCTGCAGCAGCAGCAGCAACTCATTTGATTTGGAGGAGCGAAAACACAAAAGCTTTTGTCTAGTCTCGTCAAAGGCTGTCGATACCCCGGGGGGTCGTGATCGAGGGTTTAGGGTTTAGGGTTTGTCTAGCAGGGTTTAGGGTTTAGGGTTTACCTTCCAGGGTTAAGGGTTTAAAGGTTACCGTCTAGGGTTTAGGGTTTAAGGTGTAGAGCCTCTAGGGTTTGGCCATCTAGGGTTTAGGCTGCACATAAGGGTTTACACTCTCTAGGGTTTAGGGTTTACACCCTAGGGTTTAGGGTTTACACCCTAGGGTTTAGGGTTTACAGCCTAGGGTTTCACCCTCTAGGGTCTAGGGTTTAATTTCTAGGGTTTAGGGTTTACTCTGTACTCCTAAGGGTTTAGAAACACTCACTAGGGTTTAGTCTTACGTTCTAGGGTTTAGGGTTTAGGGTTTATTGTAGCGCTAAGCGTTTAGGGTTTGGTGTGTTGAAGCCAAAGACAGTCTCCTTCCCCCAATTGAAATCGAGGGTTTAGGGTTTAGGGTTTAGGGTTTAGGGTTTGGGGGGTCTAGGGTTGCTGCTGAGCCCATTGGGGTGCAGGTGCACCCATGCCACTAGTGGCTGCTGCTGCTGCTGAAGCACCAGATGCTGCTGCTGCAGCAGCAGCAGGCTCATCAGTGTCGGAGCAGCAGCAGCGGCTAGCTGCAGCAGCTGCAGCAGCGTGGCGCAGCAAGTAGGCTGGTGCAGCAGCAGCAGCAGCAGCAAACTGCTGCTGCCGGCCCTCTGCTGCAGCGCAGCAAGGCAGCCCCTTGAGGCCCAGCTTCAGTGCGCACAAATAAGGCATTAATTAGAATGGCAAACTTGGTGTGTGGCAGCAGCAGCAGCAGCAGCAAGGGCTGCTGCTGCTGCTGCTGCTGCTGCTGCGTCATGGCAGCTGCAGCAGGTGCTGCTGCTGCTGCGTCGTGGCAGCTGCAGCAGGTGCTGCTGCTGCTCGTCCCTCCTGTGGAGCAGCAGCTGGTGCCGCCGCTGCTGCGCGTCCCTCCTGGGCAGCAGCAGCAGCGGCTGCTGCTGCTGCTGCTGCTGCTGCTGCTGCGCTCAGTTCTGCATGCGGCGCCTCTTATGTGCCGGTGCTGCCGCGCTGCTGCTGCTGTCGCCTGCTGCGCTGCTGCTGCTGCTGCTGTCGCTTGCTGCGCTGCTGTTGCTGCGGCGCGGCCGTCCCCGCGGGCGCTTCGCTGCGGCTGCCGAGGCCTCCGCTTCTGCGCTGCTGCTGCTGCTGCTGCTGCTGCTGCTGCTGCTGCTGCTGCGGCTGTTGCTGCGGCGAACGCCTTTGGGTTCTTCGTTTGCTGCTGCTGCTGCATTTTCTGCACTTGCGGTCTCTTGAGCTGCTGCTGCGGAATCAGATGTACCCTGCTGCTCAGTTTGCTGCTGTTCTGCTTCCTGTGGCTGCTGCTCCTTCTTTTGCTGCTGCTCCTCCTTTTGCTGCTGCTGCTCTTGCTGCTGCTCTTCCGGCTGCTGCTGAGGGTGTTGCTGCTCCTGTTGCTCCTCTTTCTCGTGCTGCTGCTCCTCCTCTATGAGTGGCTGTTTGCTGAAGGGCTCTTCAGCAGCAGCAGCAGCAGCAGCAGCAGGCGCAGCAGCAGCAGGAGCAGCAGCAGCAGGAGCAGCAGCAGCAAACTCAGCAGCATACTGCTCCTCGCTGAGAGTCTGGTCCCGCAGGAAGCAGCGAACGAAAGCAGCAAGAGTGCGGCTTTTGATGCTGCTGCGGACTGCAGCAGCAAAAGCGAAGCAGCACTCCATGTTGTGCTGCTGCAGCAGCGCGGGGCCGTTCATCTCGTGCTGCAGCAGCAAATGGTGCAGGTAGCAGCGGCTGTCCCTAACAGCAGAAGCAAAGCCCAAAAAGCCGTCTTCTTCCTCCTGCTGCTGCTGCTGCAGCAGCAGCTGCTGCTGCTGCTGCGTCCCGTCTGTGTCCATGCCTTCCGCGTCTCCCGCGACGGAAGCCGCTGCTGCTGCTGCTGCTGCTGCTGCTGCTGCTGCTGCGTCCGCAGGGGTCTTGCTGCTGCGGCTGGGGCGGCCATCTATGCAGCGCGTGTCTTCTGCATAACGCGGCGACAGCAAATTTAGCTGCCGGTGCATTTGGAGTTGCTGCTGCGGCCACTGCTCCAGCAGCAGCAGCGCAGCACGGGCGTCCTCCGCAGCCCCCTGCTGCTGCTGCTGCTGCTGCTGCTGCTGCTGCAGTTCTGCTGCAGCAGCAGCGAGCTCCGCCGGCGAAGGAAGCCCGAAGCTCCAGGCCACTCCTGCTGCTGCGCTGCTGCCGCTTGCTGCTGCACCTCCCTCCACAACATCAGCCCCCAGCAGCAGCGCATGCAGCAGCTCGAGGGGCCCTGCTGCTGCATGCACAGTCACTACCCGCAGCAGCGGCCGCTCGGGGCCTGCTGCTGCTGCTGCTGCTGCTGCTGCTGCAGTGAGCTGCTGCGCTGCTGCTGCCAGCAGCTGCCGCCGCTGCGCCAGCGGCCGCGCTGCTTCGCAGGCCCCAGACAGCTGCACAGCCCCCAGGAGGCCCGTGGGAGCAGCAGCAGCAACTTGCTGCAGCGCAGCAGCAGCAGCAGCAACAACATCTTTGTTTTCTGTACATTGCAGCTGCGCCACCACGTGCGGCACCACCACGCAGGGCACTCGCTGCTGCAGCAGCTGCTGCTGCAGCAGCAGCTGGTGCTGCCGCAGGGCGTAGACGGAGGGCGGGGCGCGGGGGCAGCAGGGCCCGCTGCAGCGGCAGACCTCCTTGCTGCTGCTGCTGCTGCTGTCTCTGCTGCAGCAGCAGCTCAGCCGCCGCTGCTGCTGCTGCGCCTCTTCCACCACTGCTGCCAGCAGCCCCACGAGCGCCTTCAGCGCCAGCGCCGCCGCCTTCCGCTGCGCCTTCCGCCCGTGCTGCTGCTGCTGCTGCTGCTGCTGCTGCTGCTGCTGCAGCACGTGGTGGACGGGCGCAGTCAGCATGTGGCACTGCGACAGAGCAGCAAGCTGCGCCAGCTGCTGCAGCGACACAGAAATGCGGCCAGCAGCAGAAAAGAGAGACACAGAAAGAGCAGCAGACAAAGTTTGTGGGGTCCCCTCGGCCCTGCAGCTCAAGTTCAGCAGCAAGTTTTCAAAGTCCGCCACGGGCTGCGGCGGCAGCACGCTGCTGCTGCTGCTGCTGCTGCTGCTGCTGCTGCTGCTGCTGTCGCAGCTGCTGCTGCTGGGGCTGCTGCTGCTGGGGCTGTAGTCCAGCGAGGGCGCCGTGCTGTCGGAGCCAGGGGTCTCTTCTGCTGCTGCTCGCTTCAGGCTGCAGGGGCAGTGCTGCTGCTGCTGCTGCTGCTGCTGCTCCCACGCCTGCCACCAGGCGTTGAACAGCGGCAGCAGCATCGAGAAGTCTCCTGCTGCTGCAGCAAGCAGCACCGGCTGCTGCTGCAGCGCCCGCAGCTGAGGAGGCAGCAAATGCTGCGGCATGCAGCGCTCCATGCGCAGGCTGAACGTTGGAGTGTCTGTACACCCCAGCAGCAGCCCGGTCCGGGGGGTCCACGGCAGGTCCTCTGCTGCTGCTGCTGCTGCTGCTGCTGCTGCTGCTGGCGTTGCTGCTCCGCAACTGTGAGTCAGGCGCAGCAGCGCGCCGACCTGTTTAAGGCCAGCGGACAGTGCCCTTGGAATGCTCCAAATGCCCCATTTCCTGTTGCTGCTGCTGCTGTTGCTGCTGCTGCTGCTGCTGCTGCCAGCAAGCTGCTGCGCCGCTTCACTAGGGCCCAGCGCAAGCGCGTCCTCCGCTGCTGCTGCTGTCTCAAACAGCGGCTGCCGCCGCAGCAGCAACTGCTGCAGCTCCTCCGTTATCGGCAGCTGCTGCAGCAGCTCCAAATCCCTCTGCTGCAGCAGCGGGCCGTTCCCTGCTGCAATGGCAGCAATTTCAGCAGCAGCTTGCCGCTGCAAGGCCCGTTCTTGATTATCTGCTGCTGCTGCTGCAGCAGCAGGGGTTTCGAGCTGCGGCTGAGCCATGAGACCGCGAGATAGCAGAAGGGGATCGGCGCGGCTGCGGCTGCTGCTGCGGCTGCTGCTGCGGCTGCTGCTGCAGCGTTCCTGCTGCTGCTGCTTCGGCTCCCTCAGCTTCTACTTTGGCCTCTGCTGGCCGCCAATGGCAATGAAGCGACAAGGAAATGTGTGGGGCTGGGGGGTGGGGGACAGGGGCGGTTGCTGCGGGGATCGGTAGGCGGCGTCCAGCTGCTGCTGCTGCTGCTGCTGCTGCTGCTGCTTGTGGTGCTGCCGCTGAACGTGTCTCCCGAAGTTCAAATAAAAAACAAAAACAAGCCAAAACACATCGCTGTTGGATGCTCGCTGGCGCCTGGGGGCCCCACGGCCCCATTGAGGCAGCAGCAGCAGCAGCAGCAGCAGCTTCGGCTGCTGCAGCTCGATCCACAATCTCTGCAATGTGCCCATCTGTCTTCCTTCCTGTTTGCGCAGCCCATGAGGCTTTTTAAGAGGGTCTGGAGTAAGCCGGTGTATTGTAATTTAGAAGCTGTGTGCAGCAGCAGCAGCAGCAGCAGCAGCAGCAGCTCAGCCAGTCGACCTGCTGCTGCTCACAGAGAGCAAGCTGCAGGGCCCCTCATTAGTCATGGGCTCGCATGCAGATGAGGCCCTGCAGCAGCAGGCTGAGGACGCTGAGCTGGAGCTGCTGCGGGAGCAGCAAGATCTGCTGCGGCGGATTCTGCAGCAGCAGCAGCAGCAGCAGGAAGCGCAGCTGCAGCAGCAACAGCAGCAGCAGGGAGACCAGCAGCAGCAGCTGGACCCAAAGCAGCAGCAGCAGCAAATCGTCTCCTCAGCAGGCGCCCTCCAGTGCGTGCTGCCAGCCTCCACGCGCTGGCACTGCAGCAGCAGCTGCAGCAGCAGCCCCTTAACAGGGGACTGCCTCTTAGTAACAAAGTCGCTGCTGCTGCTGCTGCAGCTGCGGTCTGGTTCCCCGCTGTCGCTGCTGGACTGCGGCACCAAGGCCAAGCCTCTGGCAGTCTCATGGGCTTTAACAGCAGCAGCAGCGGGATACGGCAAAAGAAGGTCTGCCCCACTTTTGAGTTTCTGGGCTCTCTCTTCTTCAGCGCCCATGGAGACCGCACGGTGCGGCTGTGGCGGCTGCAGCAGCAGCAAATCGAGCTGCAGCAAGTCAACGGGCAGCAGCAGCAGCAGCAGCAGCAGCAGCAGCAGCAGCGTATATCTGGGCAGATGCCCCGTGCTGCTGCAGTCTCTTCGCACCGGCAGCACGTGGGGGACCCCGAGGCCTTGGCAGCTTGCTGCGGGTGTCTGCAGCCTGCCTGCTGCTCCCCAGCAGCAGCAGCAGCAGCAGCAGCAGCAGCAGCAGCAGCAGAGAGCCGCCTGTGGCTGCTGTGCGTCAGTGGAGACGCAAAAGGCAAAATTGTCATTTGGAAGCAAGAGGGGCCCCCCTCCTCCTTTAGGGGCCCCCAGGGGGCCCCCAAGCCGCATGCAGAAGCAGCAGCAATGCAGCCGCTGCAGGAGAAGATAGTGGAGTTGGCGCTGCTGTGGGCCAGAGGCAGCTGCTGCAGCAGCAGCGGCAGCTGCTGCGCTGCCCGCCCGCCCTGGCTCTGTCGCGCGGCCTACCCTGCTGCTGCTCCCGCTGCTGCTGCTGCTGCTGCTGCTGCTGCTCCCAGCAGCAGAGACGCTGTAGGCAGCTGCGCAGAGACAACGCAGCACGAGGCCACAGACGATGAGCCGGAACCAGGGGAGATACGAAGCGCTTCTAGCAGCAGCAGCAGCAGCAGCAGCAGCAGCAGCAGCAGCAGCAGCGGATACAGCAGCTGCAGCCTTCTTGCTGCTGTGGGCTACGAAGGAGGGGCGCTGCTGCTGATAGATGTGCAGCAGCACCAAGTGCTGCGCAGCTTAGGAAGACACGTAGACCGGGTGACTAGCTTGTGCTTCATACGCCCCTGTCTGCAGCAGCAGCAGCAGCAGCAGCAGCAGCAGCAGCAGCAGCAGCAGCAGCAGCAGCAGGCGGTGGCTTTGGGCCAGCAAGCGGGAGCTGCCGCAGCAGCAGCAGCGCAGGAGTGGCTGCTGGCCTCGGCCTCGCGGGGCCAGGAGCTGCTGCTGTGGAGAGTGTGTCCTGCAGCAGCTGCTGCAGTGCTGCTGCAGATGCGGCTGGCTGCTGCGGAGGCGCCTGCAGCAGGCAGCGGCAAGGGCAGCAGCAAGCAGCAGCAGCAGCAGCAGCGGCTGCAGCAAAACAACAGCAGACTCTGGCTCTCGCTGGCGTGGCATCCAGCAGCTCCTAATTGTCTTCTCTTAGGGTCACTTTCAGGTGACCTCATGTCTTTGGATCTGTCGCAGGCCCTAGCGGAGGCGCAGCAGCAGCAGCAGCAGCAGCAGCTGCTGCTGCTGCCGCAGCCCAAGGCCAACAAGAAGAAGCGCCAGCAGCAGCAGCGCGGCCCCCACCACCAACACCTCACGCGCCTGCTGCAGCCACACTCGCGCCCGGTGTTCTCGATTTGCTGCTTCGCTGCTGCAGTAGCAGCAGCAGCAGCAAACCCTGCGCGCTCCCCGGAAGCGCCAGAAGCAGCAGCAGCAGCAGCAGCAGCAGCAGCAGCAGCAGCAGATCCTGTTGCTGCTGCTCCCCACCTCCTCATCCTTACAACCAGCTTGGACCGCCACCTTGTCTTGTCTGCTCTGCCCCTGTCTGCCGATGCTGCTGCTGCGCGAGGCCGGGCGGACACAGCTGCTGCTGCGGCTGCAGCAAACGAGGCCCCTGCAGAAGATGCAGCAGCAGCAGCAGCAGCAACTGCCGCAGATGGAGAGCCTGCTGCTGCAGTCCCCAGCAGCAGCCCTGCTGCAGCGAAGTCCGACTTGCCTCCTGCAGCAGCACCTTCAGCGGAAGCGTCTTCCCCCGAGCCGGAGTCAGCAGCAGCAGCAGCAGCAGCAGCAGCTGCTGCTGCTGCTGCTGCTGCAAACGCCCCACAGAAGGCAAGCCTAATGTGGCGGCTGGGCTGCCTGGGCGGCTGGGTCCAGTCCTTGTCTTCTTCTCTTGTTTATCCTTCTCGTGTTTCTGTTGCTTGTGGAGATGCAACAATTCGTGCTGCTGATATATCTTCTGCGGGGGGTGCGCAGCTGCAGCAGCTGCTGCAGCAGCAGCCGCTGCTGCCCATGGTGGAGCCCGAGGTTTACTTGCTGCCGCCAGCGGTTGCTGCTGCTTCGGCCGCTGCGCAGCAGCAGCAGCTGCAGCCAGCGCTGCCATTCCCAGCTGCCCTGCCCCCCCTGCCGCCCCAAAACGAACAGCAGCAGCAGCAGCAGCAGCAGCAGCAGCAGCAGCAGCAGAAGCCGCTGCAGCGGCCGGGTTTACTTGCTGCCGCCAGCGGTTGCTGCTGCTTCGGCCGCTGCGCAGCAGCAGCAGCTGCAGCCAGCGCTGCCATTCCCAGCTGCCCTGCCCCCCCTGCCGCCCCAAAACGAACAGCAGCAGCAGCAGCAGCAGCAGCAGCAGCAGCAGCAGCAGAAGCCGCTGCAGCGGCCCCCTCTTGAGGTTCTCAGCTGCTGCAAGCCCTTTTCTTCTGCTTTGTACTGGAGAGATCTGCAAGCAGCAGTAACTGCGGTGTCTGTACACCCGCGCTGGCTGGGCCTTGTGGCCTTCGGGCTGGGCGATGGCCATTTCGGTTTGCTGCAGCAGGAAACTTCTGAGGGCTGGCAGCAGCAGCAGCAGCAGCGCGCTGTCACTCTCCTCTCCACCAGACAGGCCCTAGTTGCTCCCACTACTGAGCTTTGTTGGCTGCGGCTGCCGCACTGCTGCGGCGCCTGCTGCTCTGCCAGCAGCAGCAGCAGCAGCAGCAGCAGCAGCAGCAGCAGCAGCGAAGGACCTGCGGCAGCCGGCCCAACAGGCGAGGAAAAGGATGTAGACACAGCAGCGGCTTGTGCTGCTGCTGCAGAAGGTGCAGAGGCGCGGCAGGAGGGGACTCCTCGTCAGGCAGAAATGCAGCAGCAGCAGAAGCAGCAGCAGCAGCAGCAGCAACAGCGGCAGCAGCAGCCCGCATGGCTGCTCGTCGCGGGAACAGCAACAGGGCAGATACTTGTTTCTCAGCCCTGCATACCAGCAGCCCAGCCAGCGCAGCCGCAGCAGCAGCAGCAGCAGCAGCAGTGGCGGCGTCAGGAGCAGCAGCAACAGCAGCTGCAGCAGCAGCACGAAGAGCAGCAGTGCTGCAGCCCCGTGGTTGTGGTCTTTGCGGAAAGCGACGCCCCAGCAGAGGCAGCAGCAGAAGCAGCTGCTGCTGCTGCAGAGCCTCGCGTGCGAATGGAGCAGCTTTCAGGGCTGCTGCCGTTTGCTGTGTCTGTGCCCAGAGGCCTTCCCGCTGCAGCAACAGCAGCACTGCAGCAGCATGTCGCTGCAGCAGCAAAGGCGCTCGGCTACAGCCCCGAGGCTGCTGCGTCCTGTGCTGCTGCTTCCAGCGCAGCCCAGGCCCAGCTGCTGTGTGTCTTCGACAGCAAACTGCAGCAGCGCCAGCAGCAGCAGCAGCAGCAGCAGCACCCGCAAGGCAAACAGCCGCAGGTTCACTTACACGTCATGGCAGCAGTGGTGCCCCCGCACAGGACCAGCAGCAGCGACCCCAGCCCCAGCAGCACAAGCAGCAGCAGCAGCAGCAGCAGCAGCAGCGGGGCGGCGGCCCCGGTGGCTTTCGTTTCCCTGGGACGGCTCCCTCTGTCTCTCAGCAGCAGACCAACAGCAGCAGCAGTTTGGGAGGGCGAGAGCAGCAGCGGTGCTGCTTGCTGCAGCCCAGACGCGGCTGCAGCCATTCAGGATGGTGCAGCAGCAGCAGCAGCAGCAACACGCCCTGCGTGTGAGTTCTCTGCAACAGAAGCGCTGCTGGCCGTAGGGGACGCTGAGGGAGGCCTTTGGCTTGCTGCCTGGCGGGAGTTGCTGCTGCTGCTGCTGCTGCAGCAGAGTGCGCAGCGCTCAATAGCCGAGACCCGGGCTTTGTTGGACATCTGCTGCTGCAGCCACAGCAGCATCGCGGCGCACGCAGCAGCAGCAGCTGCTGCAGCAACGCCTGCGAGCAACGGCGCCGGGGGAAACGCCGCCGCTCAGCAGCAGCAGCAGCAAAAGAGCAGCAGCAGCAGCAGCAGCTGGGCACTCACCAGCCTGGCCTGGGCCCTGCGGTGGACCCGAGACCCCAAGGGGCAGCTAAGCTGCCCCCAGTTCCTTCTGGGGGCCACCTGTGCTGGAGGTGCTGCTGTTGTGGTTTCAGTGGCTTCTGCTGCTGCGCCGGGGGCGCAGCAGGAAGATGCTGCAGCACAGCAGCAGCAGCAGCAGCAGCAGCAGCAGCAGGGGAGGCCGGGGGCAGGAGCAGCGCTGCAGCACCTGCGGCGCATCAAACCTGCAGCAACGCCGCTGGCCTGCCTCCGCAGCTGCTCGGGGGCCTCTGTGGAGCAGCAGCAAAGCGGGGGCCAGCTGCTGCGCTGCTGCTGGGTGGAGCAGCTGGTGCCTTACGCGGTGCTGCTGCTGATAGGTGAGCAGCAGCAGCTGCTCAGCAGCAGGGCCTGCTGCAGTTCAAGGGTTAAGCGCAGCACGGGGGGCTAGAGTTTGGGGCTTGGGGGTAGGGTTTAGGGTTTGAAGCTGCAGCAGCAGCACCTTTGGGTAAGGCTGTCCAGCACTGCAGCGGCTGGGCCTTGTGCTGCTGCTGCTGCTGCTGCTGCAGCTAATCTGCATGTGCTGCTGCTGCTGCTGCAGCTAATCTGCATGTGCTGCTGTGCTGCTGCTGCGGACTCAGGGGGAGTCGAGCAATGCGTCTTTCTGTGGGACCCTCTTCGCCTGCCTCTGTACCCTCCTCCTAGCAAGAAGCCCTCTGCAGCAGCAGCAGCAGCAGCAGCAGCAGCACCGAAGGCGGGGCACGCCAAAGCAGCAGCACAGCAGCAGCAGGAGACTGGGACAGCCCCTGCCAGCCAGGCTGCAGGTGCTACCGCCAGTGGCGACCTGCGCGAGGGGACCCCCGCAGCAGCAGCAACAGCAGCAGCAGCAGCAGCAGCAGCAGCAGCAGCAACGGAAGCAGCTCCTAGCATAGCCGCCTCAAACACGCCGTCCTCTCCCGCAGCTAAGAGCAGTGCAGTATGTGGGACAGAAGCGTCTGTTAAATTGGAAGCAGCTGCAGCAGCAACTGTTAACTTCAGTGAACCTGCTGCTGCTGCTGGGGCGGCTGCTGCTGCAGCAGAGGGAGCCTGCTGCGGTTGCGTCAATTCATCCCAAGGGCTGCAGCAGCTGCAGCAGCACTGCAGCAGCCTGAGGGTTGAGAGCTTTAGTAAAGCTGCAGTGGAGGCAGCAACTATGTACGTAGACGGCCAGTTGCTGCATGAGCATCCAGAGCAGCAGCTGCAGCAGCTGCAGCAGGAGCAGCAGCAGGAGCAGCAGAGCGCGTTGTTGCTGCTGTTCTTGCTGGGCGACAACAGCGAAGCCGCGCGGGCTGCTGCTGCAGCAGCTCTTCCTTGCCTCCTCGGCGGCTCAAAGAAGGTATGCCTTGAAGGGCCGCAGCAGCCACGGCAAGAGGAGCGTTACCTGCAGCAGCAGCAGCAGCAGCAGCAGCAGCAGCGCATCTGTAGCCCCACAAGCAGCAGCAGCAGCACATAGTCGCTGAGTAACAGCAGCAGCAGCAGCAGCAGCCGTCCCTCAGCAATAGCAGCAGCGCCAGACAGCCACCAAGTAACAGCAGCAGCAGCAGCAGCACTGGCAGCATCTGCTGCTAGCTCTCTAATCTTTTTGCTGCTGCCTTTCTGCAGGAAAGCCCCTCTGGCTTTGCTGCTCGCCTCGCGGCCCTGTGGCTGTGGGGGCCCCACGCGGCCCTTGAGCTGCACGGGGAGCTGCCGTGGCAGCAGCAGGAGGTGCAGCAGGAACTTGCAGCTGGAAAGAACCTTGACGGCAGCAGCAGCAGCAGCAGCAGCAGCAGCAGCAGTTGCTGCTGCTGCTCTTGGTTCTGGCTTGCTGTTGCTGCAGCAATGGGCCTCCACCCCGCAGCGCGGGCTTCGCTAGCTGGCAGCTTCCTTTCTTCAAACAGGTTAGCGCCTGGAGGACTTAGCACCATCAGAAGCACAGCAACTAGCTAGCTAGCTAGCTGGCTAGCCAGCTAACTAGCTAGCTACCTAGCAAGCTAGCTAACTGGCTAGTGAGGACAGCATTAGCATTGACTGTGCTGCTATTCGTGCTGCTGCTGTTGCTACGGACGCTACAGAAGGGTTTACGGCTGCTGCTGCTTCTGCTGCTGCTGTTGCTGCTGCTGCTGCTGTGGCGCTCAGGTCGTGCAGCTCTCCTCATATGCGAGCTGCGCTGCTGCTGGTGTGTGGGTTGGCGGCGGAGGCAGTCGAGGTGTACATACACTCCAATTTGGCTTCTTTAGCACTTCTTTTGGCTCGCCTGCATTTGCCGCGGGGCCACCCGCTGCAGCGCGAGGCCCTAGACTCCTGGCTAGCTGAAGCTGCAGAGCAGCAGCAGCAGCAGCAGCAGCAGCAGCAGCAGCAGCAGCAGCAGCAGCAGCGGATAGGCCGTTTGCTGCGGCTGGCGCTGCAGCTGGAGAGCCGCTCTTTTGTCAAGTAGCCTTGGCTTTGCTGCCAGAGGCAACCAGAAGTTCATAAATACTTGGCTGTGCAGCTAGTGAAACCGTGAGGCAGCAAGAACGAAAATCTGTTAGTTTGCTGCTGCTGCTGCTGCTGCTGCTGCTGCTGCACTGCACGCTCCGGACCCCAAATAGTACTCAATTGTCTTATTAGCTACGTAGAGGGGGCCCCCTGTAGTGGGGCCCCCCTGTAGTGGGGGCCCCCCGTAGTTGGGGCCCCCCGTAGAGCGGGCCCACTATGGGGGCCCCCTGTAGTAGGGGCCCCCCGTAGTGGGGGCCTCTTGCAGTTTTGGGTGCAGCAATCGGCTTGGAGGGTTGGGGGCCCCCTCTTATTTAGGAAGCAAAATGATATTTAGTGGGCTATGAGGCAAAGCAATATGCACCGCGGGCCAGTGCCCTAGAGCAGCAGCAGCTTTTAGGTAAGCAGCGTGCGTCTGCAGCGCATGCCAATTAGTTGCAAGTTGCTGCTCTCATGTACAGAGCAGCTAGCAGCAGTTTTTGCTGCATTAAATGCAACAGAATATTAATTTATAATTTAATTTGCAAGTTTGCTTTTCCATTGTCTGCTGCTGGTGGCCAAGCTGCTGCTTTTCCCTTAAGGTCGCAGCAGCGAAGAGTCTTTTGAATGTTGCACAGCTTTCCCTAGCTAGCCGTAACTCTCCCCAGCTAGCCATAGCTCCGTCAACTAGCTGGCCGTAACTCTCGCTGGCTAGCCATTCGTCTCCCTAGCTAGCCATAGCTCGCTCTAGCTAGCCATAGCTCTCCCTAGAGAGCCAAAGCTCTCGCTAGCTAGCCATAACTCTCGCTAGCTAGCCATAACTCCCTCTAGCTAGCCATAACTCGCGCCAGCTAGCCGAGCGCCCATCCAGCGCTAGCTGCCTCTTCTTTAAAAGACAGATCCCGTTCATTAAACAACAGGCGAAGTTCAAAGTGCAAACTTTTCCCCCCAAGACTCATTGCCTCTTAAGTCTTTTGCAAATGATTGTAGTTGCATAGTTAAGTCTTTTGCAAATGATTGTAGTTGCATAGTTAAGTCTTTTGCAAATGATTGTAGTTGCATAGTTAAGTCTTTTGCAAATGATTGTAGCTGCATAGTTAAGTCTTTTGCAAATGATTGTAGCTGCATATTTAAAGCTGCATAGTTAAGTCTTTTATAAATGATTGTAGCTGCACATTTAAGTCTTTATAATTTAAAGGAATTAAGAAATTCATTTATTGTCAGCCTTTTAAACTTGGTGCTGAAGAGTGTTGCAAGCAGGCTGGCTGAGCATCCAGCTTTCTTTCTGATCTTTTCAACATTGCATGACTGATCCTTTTTGCGTTTAAAAAGCACTCAAATTCGTTTTTAAAACAATCTTTTCTTAAAATAATTTAATTTGCTTCGAAAACAAATCAAGTTGCTTTCTAAATGTACATAAGATCGGCTACAAGTAGTTCTTTTCTGAACTGAGCGACGCAGTTTGTTCAACTGTGCAGATCCAGGGAATGCCAACAGATATAGAATGAGAGCTTCTGAGGAAAGTTGCATCTTGAATACCATTTAATTCAATTTCCCGCCTTTTTCTTAGGGCCAGGGCTTCTAAGTATTCCATTTGTGCTGCAGCAAGACAGTCTGCAGCAGCTAAGTGCTGCGGCTAAGGCAGAAAGGCAGCAAACCTCTCTTTGAAAACAGTTTCAAGTTCGCTCCCACAGTTCCTCTAGAGCTGCTGCAGCTCTAGTGAGACTATCTCAGCATTTGCTGCTGCTGATCAGGCTGATCTTTGCCTGTGCGTCTTCTGCAAAAAGTGCTGCTGCCAGTTTATTGAATTATCCCTCTCGCTGCCTTCTATGCCAGTGCAGCAGCTGCAGCTAAAGAGCTTGCATGCAATGCCAGATCAGCAGCAGCGTTTTGCATGCATGCGTCTCTATGGGAGCGGAGCAGGGCTGGACAGTTTACGCACAAGAGAGAAACTCTGGCTTGCATCTCTGTCCAGCTAAGTCTCAGTTTTTCTGGGCAAAAGCTTGCCTGCTGCTGCGCAGCAGCTGCAGCGGGAGGAGCTGCTGCTGCTCCGCCGGTGCAGAGCAGCTCTTGAGCGCAGCGAGACGGCAAATCGAAGTCTGGCGGGGGGCGCTCTGGGGAGTTCTGCAGCCTCTAATATCTATTTTTGTATTTCTGTTCTAAAAATTCGTAAAATTATGCAGCGCGGAGTCAGCAGGCGCTGTAGCGGCGCCTCTGGTTCATGCTCGTGCTGCACGTTGGCTGCTGCAGTTGGCTGCAAAAGGACGCAGCAGCAGCCCCACAAGAATAAAGCTATTTGCTGCGTTTACAATTCATGTTGTTTTGTTCTCTGTTCGAGTTAATCCAGCAACTTGCTGTTTCCGTTTGCAGATCTGCTGCTGTGCTGCAGCGCTGCACGAAGCCGTTGCCTCAGAGGCTCGAAGCTGCAGCTAATCGGTCAGCTGCTGCAGCTGAAGAACACGGATGCAATGCAAATCCAGTAATGCAGAATTATGCATAAATAATCCCTTTTAATGCCATTAAAGGAGTGAAAGCTTAAGCGAGCAGCGCTGCTGCCAGCCAGGGTTTGGCAGAGGCAGACAGAGCCAGCCGCGTCGCTGAGGAGCTGCGGAGCGGGTGAGTGTTGCTGCTGCGGTGGCTTCGCGTTTCAATTCAGGCACTTGAGCTTAAAACAGAAGCAGCAGCAGCAGCAAAAGCAGCAGCAACGACAGCAGCAGCAGCAAAAGCAGCAGCAGCAGATGCATCCTCAGTGTCGTTGTTCTGTAGGTTTGTTGTGCGGTGCTGATTCGGCAGCAGCAGCAAGCTGCTGCGGCAGCTTTTGTCTTCCCGTATTAGCCTGCAGCAGCTGCCTTAATGCAGCAAAAGTAAAAGAAACAATTTTATTAGTGAGAATATATTATGACAGTAGTTAATAGCAGCTGAGTTCCACAGAAGCCCCCCAGCCGCAGGGGCCCCAGGTGCTGCAGCAAAAGCCTCAGCAGCTGAAGCCAGAGGCAGCAGCACAGCTTCTTGGGCTAAAGCCTGGGCCTGCTGTGGGGGCCCCGGGGGCCCCCAGCAGCTCGGCCTGGCTAGCTGCTGCTGCTGCTTCGAGGCTCTGGGGGTTTGGCTGGCTTGCTGGAGGCAAGGGGCCTCTTAAGGGGCCCCTGGCCTGCTTCTGGGCTTCCTGTGTGGCCGTGAAGCTGCGGTTGCTGCGCTGCAGCAGCCGCAGCAGCAGCAGCAGCCGCAGCAGCGGCCCGGCTGGCTGCGCAGAGCCCGCAAACCAACTAGCTGCTGCCCCTCAGAGGCGGCGGGCCTCCTGCATCCGAGCTGGGAGAAAAATAGGGCCCCTTTTGGAAGAAAAGCTTTAGTTCTTAGGAGCTGCTGCGCTGCAGCAGCAGCAGCGGCGTGGGTGGGGCCTCTGCGGGCATGCAGAGGCGCTGGGAGTGCACCTGAGCAGCTAATTAAACGGCTATGTTCGGCGCGGAGCACTGGAGCAGCAAAAGTCTTTTTAAATTCAATTTTAAAATTGCTAAAGAGCAGGCTAGTACACAGCAGTGCAGCAGCAGACGCTGCGCTGCTGCTGCCTTCCCCCATGCTGCCCCTACGCTACATGTACGTCCTGCTGCTGTACGGCTGCTGCTGCCCCTGGGGCCCTCCTTTTGTACTAACAAGTGTAAGGCGGGGTTACTTTTGTTGTTTTTTATCTCTTCCCGAAACATATTGCCGCTGCGGAAATACAGTAAGCTGCAGACCGCTTACTCTGTAGCTGCTGCCGTCGGCCTCAGCAGCAGCAGCAGCAGCAGCAGCAGCAGCAGCGCGGGGCTCCTCTGTAGTTCTGTACGCATTTTTCGGGCCAACCCGTTGCGCCTAGACCAGGGCATCCCGCGGGCTTCTGAGACAGCAACCTGAGGAGCTATTACCATCTAGCCTTATCTCCCTTGCTGCTGCTCCTGCTGCTGCTGTTCACGTACGCGCCTTGGCTGCTGCTGCTGCTGCTGCTGCTGTGCTGCAAGCCGGTCCCTCCTAAAAGCTCTAAATCTCCCTAGGGCTGCTGGCCTCCAGGGCCTTCACATTTTCCAGCAGCAGCGCAGGCGGAGCAGCAGCGCGAGCGGCCCTGCTGCTCCCTGCTGCTGCTGCAGCAGCTACGAGCTGCTGCCAGACTTTGTCTTGGCCTCCAGAGGCGCAACAGAGAGAAAGGCAGGGTCTCTTCAGGGGCCCTCGAGAGGCCCCTGGCTTTCCATTGCTGGGGCTATGCTGGGCGTGGGCATTCAGCGCAGCAGCAGCAGCAGCAGCAGCAGCAAGGACTGCAGCTTGCGCAGCAGCTAGCAACAGCAGACAGGCCTCTCCATGCCTCGCCTTTAAGGGCCCCCTTGCTGCCGTTGGGGCCCTTGCCAACCCTATGACGAGCACCCCTGAGGCCCAGGGCCTGGACCTGCAGCAGCTGCAGCAGGAGCAACAACTACAGCAGCTGGAGCTACAGCAGCAGCAGCAGCAGCAGCAGCAGCAGCGACAGCAGCAGAATAAGGGGCCAGGGCCACAGCAGCAGGAATACAATGCGTCCGCTCATTTGGGGGCCGCTCAGCAGGGGGCCCCCAAGGGGCCCCCGGGGCCCCAGCAGCTGCCCACAGAAAAGGATGTGCATGCAGAAGATGCAGCAACAGCAGCATCTGTTGCACCTGCTGACTCAGCAGCAGCAGCAGCAGCAGCAGCAGCAGCAGCAGATGAGGCAGCAGACAGTATCATTCGGCGGAGCATCTTAGTGGATCTAAAAGGTCTGGGGGCCCCGTCTTGGCCCCCATCCGAGGCGACCCCCGGGGCCGCTTGGGGGCCCCCTGGGGCCGGCAGCAGCAGCAGCAGCAGCAGCAGCAGCAGCGGGGGGGAAGCTGAAGACCTGCAGGGGACAGCAGCAGCCCAAGAGAGCTGCTGCGCTGCTTCTGAGGCGGAGGGGGACCCCTCTCCCTCAGGGCTGCTGCCTCGCAATGGGACTTCCTCTGCTGCTGCTGCTGCAGCAGCAGCAGCAGCTGCTGCTGCTGCTGCAGCGGCGGCGGAGGGCGAGGGCGCCTGCGGGGCCGCGGACCTCGCGCTGCTGTCCAAGAAAATGGACGAAGCAGCGCAGCAGCTGCGAGCTTTTGCTGCTGCTGCTGAAGTGGGGCTGCAGCGCTTCGGAATGCATGCAGAAGCCCTGCGTTCGGACTTAGCCGATATTTACGTTCGGCTGGCGGAGCTGACGAAGGAGCTGGACGATCTCCACGACGACGACGCTGCTGCTGCTGCTGCTGCTGCTGCTGCTGCTGCTGGGGCTGCGGCGGCTCCGGCGGCCGCTGCAGACGCTCCAGCAGCGGCAGCAGACAGCTCCGCAGCTGCAGCAGCAGCAGCAGCAGCAGCAGCAGCTGAAGGGGGGCCGCCCACGCAGCAGCCAAGGCTGTCTTGGGCTGTTGACCCCTCAGTGGTTCGTCTCTCAGCTGCGCCGCCGGCCCTGGGGCTGGGCATGCTGGACGTGCTGCAGCACGAGGAGGAGCAGCAGCTGAAGCAGCTGCAGCAGCAGCAGCAGCAGCAGCAGCGGCGGCCGCAGCAGCTCATCGGGGGGCCCGTCCTCTTCGGAAACGGACAAGTGGCAGATGAGTTCGATTCTGCTGCTGATCTTTATTTAGAAACTACTGATGTGCTGCGGCACTACTTGGTGGCTTGTGACGCTGAGAGGCTGCAGCAGCAGCAGAAGCAGCAGCAGATACGAGAGGCCGTTCTCCGGCAGCGCCGGGAAGTCGCCCTCAAGCTGCAGCAGGAGCAGCAGCAGCAGCAGCAGCAGCAGCAAGCAGCACAAGGAGACCGGCAAGAAGACGCGTCGGATCCCGCAGCGGCTGAGCGAGACAGCTCAGGGGCGCCGTCACCCCCAGCAGCAGCAGCAGCAGCAGCAGCAGCAGCAGCAGCAACGGCAGCGGAAACAGGAGGGGCGCCTGGGGAGGGCACAGAGTCTCCGGTCCCTGCTCCCGCCGCAGCAGCCGCAGCAGCGGCTCCTGCTGCTGCTGCTGCTGCTGCTGCTGCTGCTGCAGAAGAGGCCGAGGGGCTCAGTATAGGCTGCGGCGAACTCTATAAAGAAGACCTCTATGGGGGCCCCATCCACCCCTGGGCGGACTGCCGCTCGATTTTGTCTGCTGCTGCAGCAGCAGCAGCAGCAGTGGGGTGGCTGGTGGAGGACGGGGAGGGCCCGGAAGGAGAAGCAGCAGCAGCAGCAGCGCTGGCGGCCGGCGCTGCAGCAGCAGACGAAGAAGCAGCAAATGAAGCAGCAGCAGAAAACCAAGTGGCTCTCCACACTTCTTGTGCCTGGAGGGCCCCCTGCGCGCTGCTGCCGCACAAGCTGCGGGGCCCCGATGACCCCAGCCGGCCGCGGCCCCCGCTGCTGCAGCAGGTGGTGCAGCAGCTGCAGCAGTCTGCTGAAGTTGCTGCTGCTGCGAAGCGCAGACACCGCCGCTTCCAGTACCCCCAGAGTGACTGCGCCTCGGTTGCGAGTGCAGACGCTGACCAGCAGCCGCAGCAGCAGCAGCAGCAGCAGCAGCAGCAGCAGCAGCAGCAGCAGCACCAAGTGCCAAGTCGGCACGGGTCTGCCTACCGACACGAGCAGCAGCAAGCGGAGCCTCAGCCTCCCCAGGTGCAGCAGCAGCAGCTCCCAGCGCCGCCTCAACAGCAGCAACCGTCACAGCCTCACCCCCAGCAGCAGCAGCAGCAGCAGCAGCTGCAGCAGCAGCAGCCGCAGGCTCCGCAGCCGCCGCCGCAGCAGCAGCCGCGGCAGCCGCTGCCGCCGCCGCAGCAGCAGCAGCAGCAGCCGCAGCAGCAGCAGCAGCAGGCGGAGGCCGAGCGCGTGCCTGGAGTCGTCTTCGACTCCCAGAGAAACTGCTGGGAAGCGAGATGGGTAGAAGATGGCAGTGCCCATTCAAAGTCTTTCTCGGTGACGAAGTACGGCAAAGATCTGGCCTACAAGCTGTCCGTACAGTGCAGGTGAGCGGCAGCAACACGCAGCAGCAGCAGCAGCAGCACGCGCTGCAGCAGCAACGCGGGGCAGCAGCAGCAGGTCCACAAGCAGCAGCGCAGCTCCGCAAAGTTTCTGCAGTGTCACTGCGCCGCTGCACCCGCAGAGAAGCCGGTTTGTGTCAGTGTGTTGTGTGATTCTCCACTGCTGCTGCTGTGGCTTTTGCTGCGGTGTTTGCTGCTGCTGCTGTGGCTCTTGCTGCGGTGTTTGCTGCTGCTGCTGTGGCTGCTCGCCGGTGCTGCTGCAACAGTGCAGGCTAGCAGTGAGGCGCTGCTGCTTCTGTTTGCCTGCAGGCTTGCCCACGCGCCGGACGGAGCTCAAGGAGCGACGGAGGCGAGCAGCAGCCGCAGCAGCAGTAGCAACAGCAACAGCAGCAACAGCAAGAAGGACTTTGCTGCAGCACACGCAGCAGAGGCTCCTTCCCAGCCACGCCGCCGCATGCGTACAGGGGCAGGCGCAAGAAGGTCCGCAGTGTCCGGGCTGGGCAGTGCAGTCCACAGCAGCAGCAGCAGCAGCAGCAGCAGCAGCAGCAGCGGCGGCGGCGTCAAGGCCGAGCAGCAGGCCATGGGGCCCCCTCGAGTCAACGGCCGGGGCAGCAGCCACAGGAACGGTGAGACGTTGCAGCAGAGTCACGGGCTGGAAGCTGTCTTTGAATATTATCTGTTTTATCAAATGTGCAATAATATAAATGTGCTGCATTTGTATTAAATAATTTATATATCATTACATGCATGGGTGCATCGGTGGCACTGCCGCAGATCCTTGAACTCGAACAAAGACGCCCGCTGTGTCTTTTTGGCTTCCTGTGTTGCTGCTGTTGTCTTTTGCTGCTTTCTGCTGTTTGTCCTACTCACCCGCTGCCTCACTGCTGTGGCGGCTTGTGCTTCTCTTGCTGCTGCTCTTGCTGCTGCGCTGCTGCTGCACTACATGGAGGATGCAGACTGTGGGCTCACCTCATCTGTAACTCAAGTTCATATCCCTCACAGAATGCATTTCCTTACTGGCCTATTGGTTGCATGCACTCCAGAATATGAATATATTCGGATTTTTATTTAGTACGAACTGCATGCAGTTTCTAAATCCGCGCAACGGGGGAATCTGAATCGTTGCAAATTGAACTGGTGCAGATGCATGCAGCCTGCAGCTTCTGTGCTAATGGGGAGGGATTTTTTTGCTGCTTGCTGAGGTTCAGGCATTCTGGGCGTTTCGTTTTCTCGCACTGGCAACGCGTGGCTGGCGTACATAAAGAACCGGAGCACCAAGAGCCAAATAAACCGCTACTTTCGGGTTTCTGTTTACGGCTGGAAAGGCGCCAAGAGGAAGGCAATAGAGGCCAGGCTCGAGCTGGAAGAAGAAATGAAAAAGCTGCACCAGGGGCACTGGGACGTATCGCCCTGCAGTGAGCTGCTGCTTTGCTGCGCTGCTGCCGTTGCTGCTGCTCCAGTGGCGCTGTTGCTGCTGCTCCCGCCGTTGTTGCTGCAGCACATGCTGCTGCTGCTGTCAGTTTTTGAGCGAATTGTTTCCCATTATGCCTTGTTCAGTGCCTCCTGCTGTTTACTTCGACGCGGAGGCGAACGCCTGGGTGGCGGCGGCTCACGACCCGGTGACTGGTGAGACGAGAAGGGCATATTTCTCGTGTTTTTGCCTGTCTCCAGATTTGTTTTTCACTGTTTGTCTTCTGCTGCTGCTCCAATGTGTCCCGCCACAGCATTGCCGCCGCCGTGTCTGCTGCTGCGGCAGCAGCCTCTGCAGCACTCGCTCTGCCTTGGCTGTATTTCCCGTGTCAGTGAGCTGCGCTGCGCTGCACCCACAGGCCAGCTGGTGACCAAAGCCTTCCCCGTAGAAGAAACCCCCGGGGGCGCAGCAGCAGCTCGCAGCGCCGCCATAGAGGCGCGGCTGGAGATGGACGGCGATGACGAAAAGGAAGTGCGAATGGGTCTTGGGCGTGGCGCGGGGGAGCACGAGGAGGAGTCCCAGCAGGTACCAGTGGGGGTTTCGGAGGCCAGCCCCGAGGTGGCTTTGGCGCAGCAGCAGCAGCAGCAGCAGCAGGAGCCGAAGCTGGAAGATCCGTCCGCATTCGAGGCCGCAAACGGATGCCCCCCCAAACATGAGCTGCACTCGCAACAGGCGGACCTGCAGCAGCAGCAGCAGCAACAACAACTGATCAAGCCCGCGCCGAGTGGCGCCGCTGAAGGACTGCCTCAGCTGGACCCCTCGGGTTTAGGTGCGCTCGAGCAGCAGCAGCAGCAGCAGCAGCAGCAGCCTGTTAGTGATGTGGCATACGGCGGGGACTACGCAGCAGCAGCAGCAGCAGCAGCAGCAGCAGCACCTGCTGCCGCTGCTGTTGCAGCAGACGAAGACGGTAGAGCGAAAGCAAGAAAAAGACGCCGAAACCCCAGTGCCCTTGTAGGGGCCCCCGGGGGGGGCCCCCTCAGCTCTAAAGGCAGGAGGCCCCGCAGCGACAGTGCTGTGTATGAGGGTCTTGATCAGAAGAGGGGCTGCGCCTCGCCCGGGTCGCTTCAGGGCGCCGAGTCAGCTGCTGCTGCTGCTGCTGCTGCTGCGGCAGTTGCTGCAGCAGCCAGCACCCCGGCGGTGGTAGACGTGCTGGGAGAGGCGGCGAAATCCATGGACCCGTCTCAGTCTTCCGCTAACCAGGAAGCGGCCGCAGCAGCAGCAGCAGCAACAGCAGCGTTTCAATGCTCTGCAGCAGCAGCAGGCCTTGCAGCATCGGGCGCTCTGGCGGCAGCAGAGACGCAGCACCAGCAGCAGCAGCAGCAGCAGGCCGGGGCTCTGGGAATCGCGGGTGGCTTGTGCGGCAACAACCACACTGCTGCTGTGCAGGTGCAGCAGCTTTCGGCGCTGCTGGTGCCGGAGCAGCTGCAGGCCCCGCCCCCGCCCCCGCAGCAGCAGCAGCAGCAGAAACCCTACTGCTGCGCGCAGCACCTAGAGATGCTGCAGCAAATGGATGAGATCCAGCGGCAGCTACCTGAAGTCGCTCTCTGCAGGCAAAGCATGTACAGGAGATTGGTTTCTATGCCGGAACAGCCAGTGACACCGGAGCAGCTGCGGGAGATAGAGTCCGCCCGGGCGGACTTTGACGAGTTGTCGCAGCAGCAGCTGCGCATGGAGCAGCAGCTGCAGCTGCTGAACCAGCAGCAGCACTACCACGCACTGCAGCACAGAGCAGAGCTGCTGCAGCAGCAGCAACAGGGAATACCGCAGCATGCGCCACCACCGAGCCAAGACCTGCTGCAGCAACAGGGGATTATGAATGAACAGGACCTGCTGCAGCAGCGGGTGCTGCAGCAACGGCTGCTTCAACAAAGGGTGCTACAGCAGCAGCTGATGCAGCAGCAGCAATTCATCCAGCAGCAGCAGCTGCTTCAGCAGCAGCAACTGATGCAGCCACAACAGTTGCAAACGCAGCAGCTGCAGCAACAGCGCCTACCTCCAGCTGCAGATCCTTTTTCCCAGCTCAGCGCTGCTGCTGCAGTGAGTGCTGGCGCACAAGGCGCAGTGGCTGACGAGCAGCAGCAGCAGCAGCAAGCTTTCTTCGCTCAGCCAACGTTTTGATGCTGCGGCAAAGCCGCTGCGAAGTTTGTCTTCACGAGGTTGTTGTTCAGCCCTAGGGCTTCGTGTGTATACTGTTAGGTCTATGCGCAGCTCTAGGGAATCTGCAGCTTTAGGGTGCATATGCAGCATCATTGTTGCTGTGGCCAAGCCTCGGCCTGTGCGAGGCCAAGCTAAACGGGTGCTGCAGCTATGAATTGTTTTCGGCATTGCTGCTGCTGCTGCTGCTGCTGCAGCTCGCGGGATCTCCTGTGGGAGACGCAGGCGGTGGGCTGAGAGGCGCAGGGGTTGCCAACGTGACTTCTTTGATTTGGTAGTGCTAAGATCTGCAGACTTGAACGTCTGGAAAGAGCATCAACGGCGCGGCCAGCCACCCGGCCAGCTGGCTTTCGGGATAGCCAGTCTAATTGCAATCTAAAATAGCAGCAGAAAAACGATAATTCCTTTTTAGCTTTTGAAAGCCATAAGTGTAAGCAGCACGGAACCAAGCGCAACACAACAGCAGCTGGGGAAATTATGAGGGGCTCAGAAGGTATATAATTCCAAGTGAGTGTCTTAGGGCCCCTTTTGCAAGTTAGCTCTTCTGAGAGCCTATACAGCAGAGAGTGGAAAGCGAAGGTCAGTTCTGCCCTCCACGCCGAGTCCGCCGTAGAGTGTTTCTGCTGGATCCTGGAGACGAAGTGAACATAAGAATGTGAATTGAAATGGTAATTTTGAGAAAGCTTTTTATACTTTTCGGGCGGGGACGAGTTGCTTACCATTCCTTTGTTGAGCTGCTCGATAATTCTGTCGCTGCGATGCACGCGGGAGGGCCGCGGCAAAACCACTGAGGAAGCAGGAAAGCCGGAATTAGCTGAAACGGCAAATTGGATTAAAGAGCTTAAGGGCCATACCGTTCACGTGGCCAAAGCCGCCGGACTTGGTGTCAGTGACATCGCTGGCGACGGGAAGATCTGTCACAGTGGTTACGATGGAGCCGGCTTGCCACCGCTGCCTGTGGCGTTTCGCAGCCATTAATAAAAGAAAAGTTTATTCAAAAAAGAAAAGAATGAAGGCATTGTGGGCAGACCTGTCAGGGGTCATTTCCTTCTGCATGAGCATCCTGTACAGAAAGAAATAACAAAACCTGCAAACAGCCCTTGGCTGGCCTGGAGTGCAGCAGCAGCCACTCACGTGCACATCAGCGTAGTGCCTGAGGGGAAGTTTACGCATGCAGCAACTGAAACGAAACAAGTAGCTGCTGCAGAAACAGCAGCAGCAGCAGCAGCAGCATCGCTAGTCTACCGAGAGCTTTCATCAGGTCCTTCGCAAAAGGCCGAGACGAAAGGGTCTTGAGCCTTGCCAGAGCCGCGTCGGCCGGCCTGCAGGGAAGCTGGAGTTGAAAGAAAAACATGAATTCTGATTTGACATTTTATTACCTGCCCCCCGACATCACGCGCGTGTTCAGCACGGCTATCTCTTGAGCTGAAGGCGCAGTCACTCGGCAATTCATGTTGCAGCTGAAACGTGAACTGGCACCTGTTTGAAAAAGCTGCTTTCCTTCGTTCACGGCTGTTTTTGGAGAAGAAAAACGTGAAAAAAGATGAAATTAATTAAAATTCAACAAATAAACCAGAGTTTGCTTGCCTGATTCGACGCAAACCATCAACTCTTTCAAAGTTGGCGAAGAACTGCCTGAGTCCAAATTCAACTTTCGGGCTTGGAGCCGCAGCAGCAAACAAAACATACATGTTGTCACATCAGGGGCTCCCGGAACTCCTGCATGTGCAGAAAAACAGATACTAATGTTGTTAATTGTTCTTTAAAGTTAAATTATGCTCACCTAGTCCATTCATGAAAGAGGCTATTCCTGCTGCTGTGTTGATCAGTTGACTCAGCCATGGCGGCAAAGGCTGCAGTTAAATCATCTACGCGTTTCTTTTCCCAAGCCAATATTTACTTACGAAGTTCAGCTTCGAGAAACCAGGAAGCGGAGCTGCTGGTTGCGGAAGCGCCATTGGCTGTGCCTGCAGCACCAGCAGCAGCAGTTGCTCATGATCTACACAGCTACAGCAATATGAGCCCTTCTCACCGCCCCAGAGAGAGCAGCAGCCTCAGAAACAGCTTCTTTCTCCTCCACTGGAAGTTCCGTGATATCAGGGCCTGAGTATGGCCACGGTCGGCCACCACCATACTCAGGACCCAGGGCATTAGGAATGGTTCTTGTGCCCCCAGGTCGATATGCTGCAGGTTCCTCCGAAGTCACCCTGATGCTCCCTGGGCTAGGGGCCCCCAGGGGCCCTGGAATGGTGCAAGAAAAACTCTTTCTGTAGTTTAGTATGCTGCAGGCAGTGAAGCAGTGGGTTACCGTTGGGAGCCAGATGCACTTTCAGTCCGCATACTCTGCGAATTGCAAGCACCGAGGTCCCTGCTAGCAGTGCAGTGAATGTGCCTTTCATTTAATCGGTCTAAATATAATTAAGCATAGAGGGTAGGCAAAGTGTTCCCTGCGGCTGCTGTTCATCCTTTTTTCAGCTGCGTACACCTCAGCCCATTCAACTTGCAGTCGGGTGTCCTGCGGCCTCAGAGTCCAGCAAATCCTATTTTACTGAATAGGAGTGAATAACTATAAGAACGTTTTCCATCAGTTCACTCTCAATATATCTCAGCACGGCTGAAACGCATTATCTCCCGTCTTGTTCGTGCTAGATTTCTTTTGCCAGTGCTTTCTTCAACTTTTTCAACGTGCAGATTGGAAGCGATCCTCGAATGGAACACAGTCAACAGAAGTGCTACATTAACACGGAGTGGCCTCAGTGGAAACTGCACCATTTACATCAGCCGAAAGCAGTCATGGTAAAGCAAAATGATACTCAGAGGCTGGCCAGGAAAGCTGTACAACGAGTGGCACTCTACTAAACTTCAAATTTTCAACTAGAACTGTATCCCGTCCTACCGCCTTTGTGGCAAAAGCGAGTAGCACAGCTATTCGTTTCTATTCAAGAGAAGCATGCGCTTGTCAGTTTGCCAGCCTGATGCGTTACTTGAAGCAGTAAAAGTTGAATTCAGTTTAAACTGTACACATGCGTATCATCATGTGCACCAAGTTAAGCCTTAACTACTCCACTCTACTACTTGGCCAAAAAAAGTCCGCGAAGAAGACGAAATAAAAACACTGCTTGGAGGCAGCTGCAGCAGCAGCAGACAGCAGCAAACTGCTGCCTGGTTCTGCGCTGCCGCTGCCACTGCCGCTGCGCTGCCGCCGCTGCCCCTCAATACTAAGGGCAAAATGGGGTCCCTGCGAATAGCAATTTAGTCTATTTGAGAAGCGGGGGCTAAAGAGCCCCAGCAGAGCCTCAGTAACAAATGAAAAAGCACCAATAGCTGCACCTGCAGCAGCTGCTGCAGCAGCTGCTGCAGCAGCTGCACTTTGTCCTGTGAACTGCAACTCCGGCCCGTCCGCATGCCTCATCAGCCAGGCACAATTGTTGTCAAACTTCTGCTGCGGGCGACGACTCATGGGCACGAATGTGCAGCAAGACAAATGCATGCAAAAAGACACCAAAAGGTAGCCGTAGAGCTGCCTCTGTCTGCATCGGGTCCCAGCTAGCCACCAGTTTGCCCACAGCTAGCCACCAGCTAGCCGTGTCCGCATCGGTTCCCAGCTTGCCACCAGTTTGCCCACAGCTCGCCACCAGCTAGCCGCCAACTGAGGCAATTAGACGCCGCTGTGCCAGCCACTAAACAAAAAGTCCACTAGATGTCCGCTAGCTGTTCCCCAGCTGGCTGCTTCGGTATCTGCTTTTAGCAGCAGCTTCCCCGCTGGCTTCCTGCCGGCTGTCTGCCTTCAAGTGCTCGACCCAAGGGTCTCCCTGCACTTCTGAAATGAACTTCGGTTCGATTCTCAAGCGCCATAAGAAGCAGCGGGCGCATGCAAAGCCAATAACGCCGTTGATGGACCACAAGTAAATTACCTGAGACCCACAGCAGCAGCGCCAAACACACAGGAGTCTTTACCGGATCGTCTTGGCTGTGTGGGTTTACTTCAACTTTCGAAATTGCAAGCAAATGACGAGAACCACAGACACTGCAGCAACAGGTGCAACAGCAGGAAAAGCAAGAACTACAGCAGATGTAGCAGAAACAACAGCAGAAGCAGCAAAAGCAGAGGCCGCAGAAAAATGCAGAAGCAGAAACAATGGAAGCTACAGGGGCAGCAAAGCAGAAGTGGAAGCATAAACAGAAAAATGCTCAAGGCGAAGAAGGAGCACTAGCAGAGACAGAAAAGGCAACAGAAGCAGAAGTCGCAGAAACGGCAAGAAGCAGCAGCTGGAGCAGCACAAGCATAAGAGACGGGCGCAAAGCAAGACCAGCAGCAGCAGCACCAACGGGAGAAGAAAAAAAAACACGAGAAGGAGAAAAATCCGCAGGAGACGAAGGATGGGCAGCAGAAGGAAAAGAATCAACTACATGGGCTTTTAAGCAGCAGCAGGAGCAGGAACAGCAAAAGCAGCAGCAGGAGCAGCAGGGCTACGATTGCCAGTAGCAAAGAAGGCAACAGGAACCAGACTGGGAGCAGTAGCAAGACCCTGGAAGAGCCTAATTCGGAGCAGCAGCAGCAGCAGCAGCAGCAGCAGCGGGAGCAAGAGCTAAAGCAGCAGCAAGCGGGCGGGACTCACCCTCATTCCCCAAAGAAGGCTGGCGGCCTCAATGAGAATGCCCGGCAGAAATGTGCCCAAGACATACCCCAGGACATTGTAGATCATCATGCAGAAGCCGCTGCCGAAGGCTCGGACTTCAACTGGCACTGAGGCGATCACTATGCCCGTGGCGGCGGGCAAAATGCCTCCACCCAGAAAAAGAATGCACCACATGCAAAAAACAATAAACCAGAAGTTGTTGGACCAGCCAGCCCCCACGCCCAGCAGCAAACAGCCCACAGCCCACAGCAGCAGCACTGACATCGTGCGCCGCATTCCCCGCTCGTCCTTGTAGCCCCCCACGAAATCTATGAACCAGCCACCGCCCAAGACCCCCAAAATAGGAGCTGTTGCAGCAGTGGCATTGAAGGCCACCAGCACAGTTGCTGTGGGATACTGCAGCACAGAACCAGGCACACGCAGCAGTGCTGCTGCTGTTGCTGCTGATGCTACGAAACAGACAGAAGTAGCGCTGCTTCTGCTGCTGATGGTACCTGCAATGTGAACATATGACGCTGATACTGGCCGCTCTTTGTGCGCGTCTCTGTGAATGTGTTTCAGGGTCTGTGGCTGTTGCTGCTAGCACTCAACTGTTTCTGCTGCAGCTGGTGCTAGCCCTACTACAGATACTACTACTGCTACTGCTGCTGCTGCTGCTGCTCTCGTCTCACTGATTACCTGTAGGACCTCGTGAAAGTATGAAATGGACCAAAACTGAATTGCAGTCACTTCGAAGAAAAGAGCGCAAAGGGCAAAAGTGACGCAGACGTACAGCGGGCTCCTGCAGGTGAGTGCACAAAGACCAGACACTCCCAGCTTTGTGCATCTAACAATGCAGATACTTTCCTGTATCAATATACATTACATATAGTTGAAAGTATATGTAACAAAATGTTTATTATAAATCTATATGTAATGTACATTGATAGAGGGAAGTATCTGCATTGACCGAGCACGCATGTACGTGCACATCTACATAATGCATGTAAGTCTGTTCCCGTCTTCTTTCTTAAGTGATGCGAAGAGCAGCACAGGCGGACAGTGGAAGATAGCATTTGTTCAAAGGGGAAAGAAATGACAAAATGACGGAAGATGAAGAAGATACATGTTAGCAGTGCTACAAGTCCATCCCTTCACCAAAGCATGTACACAGAGAACTTACGAAAACAAAATTCGCACTGAGTCCCCCACCCCGTACGTCTTGGCCTCGCTCCGCGGGCTGGACGTCGCTGTCATCTCCTGTGCACAGTAGCAGCAGCAGCATGAGCAGCAGCATGCTTGGCACCAGCAGCAACCCTAGGCTGATCTCAGCCAAATAAACGAATCGAGGACCTCAAACTGCAGGGTCTGCAGGCCCTTAACTGGGAGGCCTCTAAAAGCTTCAGTGTGCTGCCATACCACTTGCTGCTTCTCTGCTGCTGCTGCCTGCGCCATTTCCCTGCAGTTCAACTCCAGGTCCACCTCTGGGGGCCCCTTGAGGGGCTTTCCTGCAGGATCTGCTTGAGCTGCCAGTGCTGCGTCGGCGGGCGCAACCCTGCTGTCATGCTCTCCATCTCTGCGTTGCTGCGGGGGCCCCTGCGGGGGCCCCTGCGGGGGCCCCAAACCCTCAGCAGCCTCTGCAGCCTGCGCCTGCCGTGGGTCTCTCTGCACCAAAACCATTGGGTCTTGTGTGCCTGAGGCCCAATTAAGAGCCTCAAAAGCAAGAGTAGTTGGGTGGGGGGTTAGGAAAGTCATTTGGTACTGAAAGGTCTGCAACCCTTCGGGGCCGGGCGCACCAGCAGCGGCGCTGCTGCCCGCAGCAGCAGCGCCCGCCGCAGCAGCCCCCACAACAGGCGCTGCTGCTGCAGCTCCAGCAGCAGCGAACTCCGGCCGAAAAGCACCCGCCAAAGGCGCCCACCGCTCGCCCTCCCGCGAGTCCACAGCCGAGTGGGCCCGACCCACCAGGGGCCCTGAGTGCCCCCCCTGCACTGGCAACCCCCGGGGGCCCCAACTTCCCGGGGAAAATGCCCTTCCTGTGTACCTGAAGGCCTCGCTGCCGCAGAAGGCGCTGTGGCGGCCTTCGAGGCGTCGGGGCAGGGGGCCCCCTCCGGGGTGTCGAGACACCCTGCGGTGGTCTGCGCTGGTTGCGAAAAAGTCCAGAGGCAGAAAGTTCGAAAGAGGATCTTTTAGGTACTCCGGCAGATCTGCAGCAGCGCAGACAAAACCTGCAGCGTTAGTCATGGGCAGCTTAGCTTGGGGCCCAAGTCCATGTAGCAAACTGCAACGGCGCATGCTGCCCTCCGGGCTGGCTTTTGCATGCATGCACATATGCATGCGTGCATGGACCAACATCCAAATACGCGCATGCATGCGTACACCCCAATATGCACTGTAAGCACGCTCACAGTGTAAACGCATGCATGCGTGCATGCATTTACACTGTAAGCAGGCAGGCTGCAGTGCATACACGCAGGCAGTTGTTCATTCATGCATGGATGTGCGCATGCATGCATGCAAGAAAGCATGGGCACACAGCTGTGGGATGCATGCAACAGCTCTGTCCTTTCCAGCCCTGGGGCGCACCTGAATGCCTATGGGCTGCTTGCATTTGCTTCTTTTCTTTTCCAGCAGCTCTAGGGGCCCCCTGAGTCTCTGCATTTTTGTTTTCTCCTTGTTTATCCCCAACGCCCCTAGCAGCACTAGAGGAGGCCGGGGGGCCCCCAGGTGAGCCTGCGGCCTTCCTGGCGCCCCCGCTGCTCCTGAGGCTCTGGGCTGCTGATGCACTTTGCGACCGCCGAGAGCGGGGCCCCTGCTGCTTTCGGCAGCAGGGGAGTAGGCCCTGGGGGGCCCCCAATCGGGGCCCCTCAGGGCCTACCTTCACCTCTGGTGTTGCTGCATCAAACGCTAAACCCAGCAGCTCCTCCTTGTCCTTTTCTGTCTCTGTTTCGGTCTCCGTGTCTGCATCCTCCTCCTCCCTCGAAGAGGCCACTGAGCCGAGCTCTGTGTCTTCTGCTGCTGCTGCTGCAGTGAGGTCAAACTCCAGCAGCGGGCGCGGCGTCAGGGCCCAGCCCACAAGCAGCAGCAGCAGACAGACGAACTGCACGGCTAAGGCGTGACGCCACTGGAGGCCCCCAAATCCTGACTTCCCAGCAGCATCAAACACTCCTGCCGTCACGCAGCCCAACTGAGCCACAGCAGCAGCAGCAGCAGCAGCAGCAGCAGCAGCAAGATAGGAAGGCGTATGCACGCACGCATAGAAGCGCACGCTGGGTTTATGGCCCAAACGGCGAGTTGCTGCTGCTGCCCCGAAGATGCAGGAAATCCAACAGGCAGCAAAAATCGCGCAAATCCTCCCAGCAGCTATAACAGCCACAGCAGCAGCTATGATCGCTATCCGAGCAGCCCAGCAGCAGCAGCGGCAGCAGCAGCAAAAACAACGGCAGCAAGCAGTGCAGCTGCATCAACAACAGAGTCACCACTCGCAGCTGCAACAATACCATCCGCAACAGCAGTTTCCACCGCAGCCGCCTCCACAGCAGCAGCAGCAATACCCACAGCACTTATCACAGCAGTAGCAGCAGCACTGCCCTCAGTAGCAGTAATGCCCACAACAGAAGCAATAACTGCAGCAGAAGCAGCATCAGTAGCCTTATCCGCACCCGCAGCAACAGCACTACCAACAACAGCAGCAGCAGCAGCTGCAGCATACCATGGTGCCTATGACGACGCCTCCTTGAGCAAGTCCCATCCAGAGGGTGAGCTGAGAAGGAGGGGCGAAATGGTCCACCCAGACAGGAGTGTAGATGCTGATGGCAGCTTGAGTGAGGCCCATCAGCAAACGCGAAACATACAGCATCCTGAAAGCATACAAAAGTGACTGCAGCACATAATTTGTGTTGGGTTCATTTCCAAATCTATACATTCAAAGCGCCTGGAAATGCATGCGAATGCATGCATTTTGTAATCTAATCACAATACTACTCTGTAATGCACAAAAATGCACTCATAAACAGAAAATATCAGACGCGTTCTTCGCGTAGGGCAGCAGACCCATACGGCGGCGGCCATTAACTTTGTTGCAATTGCTGCTCTCGACGCGAACTTAGAAGTCCTCTACAGGCCCAACTAGCAGCAACAGCAGCAGCAGCAGCAGCAATCCAGCTGATGCGGCTCGACTAGCAGCAGCAAACGGGGAGGAGGAGAAAGAAAATGATGTCAGTGGCCCACCAGCGGTGCACTGCCACCCCGAACATAACCGTGGCTCCCAAATTGACTGTCATCGTCAGCAGGCAAAAGGACTTGGGCGAAAAACGGGTGAGCCCGCGGCCCACGAAAGGGCTGCAGAGGCCCAGGCCTACGTAGGGCAGGGCCCCCAGCAGGCCTGCAGCAGCACACAGCATCAAACAGAAGCAGCAGCAGCAGCAGCAGCAGCAGCAGTACCTCCACGTCTGCTCACAAGTCGCCGATCTTCGGAGACTAACTTCTAGCTCTTCACTACAAATGGGATGCAAATGAAGTAGAATACAGCAATAAAAGAGAACGAATAAAGGACGCAGGAAAGGGGTTGGTTTCAGCAGCAAAGTAAAGCAACGCAACACCACAGAAGCCTATAACAACAGCAGCAGCACAAGCGCCTGCAGCAGCAAAAGCATCAGTAGCAACAGAAGCATCAGCATCAGCAACAGACGCGAAACCACTAGCACCACCAGCAACAGCACTAGCAGCAAACGCGACAGCACAAAGCAGCACAAGCAGCAGCAGCTACAACAACGAAAGCAGCAGCAGCAGCAGCAGCAGAGAAGGCAGGATCAGCAACGAAGGCAGCAGCGGGAGCAAAAGCACCAGGGAATCAGGACAAGCAACAGCAGCACACTCCGCAGCAGAAGTATCAGCAGCAGCAAAAACAGCTGAAGCAGCAGCAGCAGTAGCGAAGGATGGAGCATTAGCAGAAGCAAGAGGAGCAGCGAATGTAACAGTAGCAGTGAAAGCAGAAGCAGCAGCAGCACAATCATCAGCAGCAACACCAAGAACACTGACTGCAGCACAAGCATCGAGAGCAGCAGAGGCAACAGTAGTAAAAGAGCGCACGCAGCAATAGAAACAGGACACAAGCAACTGCAACAGCAGCCGCAGCAGCAGAGTACATGCAGTAGCAGCACGATCAGCAGCAGCAGCAGCAGCAGCAGCAGCATCTAGCCTCACCTTCAGTAGTCCCGTCAAGCTGAAACTGAGCCTTAAGAGTCGATAATATGGCGGGCACTACTCCCGCATCGAAGTTGATGAAAACTTCAACAAGAAAAAACAAAACAAATACCCAATAAACGCCGCGGCTGCCCTGGGGGGCCCCCCTCGGGGGGCCCCCCCCAGCAGTTGCCCGCGGGGCCTCTCCAGGGGCTCCACAAGCCCCAGGGGCCCCCAGGGCCTCCGAGGCCAAAAGCCCCCCTTGAAAAGGGCTGGGAGGGCCCCCAGCATTCTTGTGGGGGGAGGAGCAAGGGGAAGGGGGCCCCCTGGGGGGCCCCCCGGGGGGCCCCCCTTGCTTGCCTCTTTGGGCGGGGGGGGGCCCCCCGAGGGTCCTTGGGGGCCCCTCCACCCCTTGGCCACTTTTTCCAAAATGATTTAACTGGCGGCTTTCGCTGCTGGCGCTTCGGGGACTGCTGGGGTCAGCTGTAGTGACAGCAGACTGCTCGTCTTCTTCTTTATTTATTTTTATTTCAATTTCTTTTCTCATTTGTACTTCTTTTCTCAACTCCAAAGACTCCCTCCCAGGGCCCTCACCAGCAAAACCCCCCCCACCGCCCCCGCCAGGGGCCCCCGGAAGGGCCCCCAGAGGGGCCCCCCCAGTGGACCCCGGAGGGGCCCCCAGGGGGGCCCCCGCTGCAGGGGCCCCCTCGGGGCTGTCCTCCCTAGAGGTAATCAGCCGTGCCTCAGGGGGCCCCCCTGGGGGCCCCCCTGGAGGGGTCCCCAGGGGGCCCTCGGGGGGCCCCCCAGCTGCAGCAATTGCTGCTTCAGACTCCGGCAGCAAATGAGAGATTGCCTCTGCCCCTTGCCTGGGGGCCCCCTTCCTGCAGGGGGCCCCCCTAGGGTTCGAGGGGCCCCTGCTGCGGGGGCCCTTTTTGGGGCTGCTGGGGGCCCCCGAAGCGGTGTCGGCTTGCGTAGGCTCTGGGCAGCTGCTCGCGGAAGCAGCAGCAGCAGCTGCTGTTGCTGCTGCTGTTGCTGCTGCTGCTGCTATTGCTGGTGTTGCTGCTGTCTCTGCTGCTTCTGATGAAGCAGAAGCAATGACGCCACTGGGGTTGCTCCCCTGAACGCTGCCGTCCATCTCGACGGCCGATGTTGCTGCTGCTGCTGCTGCTGCTGCTGCTGCTGCTGCTGCTGCTGCTGCTGCTGCTGCTGTTGCTGTTGCTGCTGCGAGCCCGACGGGGTCTCTGGGCAGTGCGGTGTACAGGCAGCAGTTGAGAAGAACTCTAGTTCCGAATCTCCATGGACAAAGCGACAAGAAAGACAACTGGAAAAAGTCAGAGACGGAGCAGGAGCTGCGGCAGCTGCCCCTGATGCAGCCGCAGCTGCTGCTTCCGCCGCTACTGTTGCTGCTGCTGCTGCTGCTCTTGCTGCTGCCGTTATTGGCACTCCTCCTGCGATTAACGAGGCTACTCTGCTGCTGCTGATGCAGCTGACCGTTCGCCCCGTCTCTGCAGAGGCAGCCTGGGCAGACACCGCAGCGCCAGGGGCTCTTAAGGGCCCCGTCTGCCCCCAAGTGAGAAACTGGCTGCTGCTGCTGCAGTGCTGCAGCTTGAGGTGTACAGACAGCGCGCGACGGGGGGGAGAAAGAGAGAGAGCAACCAGCTATGCACGGAGAGGCAGCCCCAGCACACGGCGGTCGATTCGCGGGTTTGTTTCTCCCAGGCCATGAAGTTCGGGGCTTCAAAAGACCCTACAGAGCTGTACATGCGCCAAAGGTTCTTCTGAGAAGCTAAAAAGAAAAAAAAGAAGAGAAAGCCATACGGAAGCCGACTGGGGGTGCTGGGAAAGCAGGGAGCGGCACTAGCGGCGGGAGGGAACGCTCCGGCGGTTGTTGAGTGGTGTTGCGAAGAGTGAATCAAATTATTCTTTTTGAAGTAATTGAATTGCTTTTATTCTTTTAATTTATCCCTTTTGCTGTTCGAATAAGTCGGAGGCTGCCAGTAAACGCCCAGCAGTCACGCCCTACTTGCCTCGGTGGACAGACCGCCCGAGATGGTTCAGCACGCCCGAATTGTGGGGAGAGCAACATGAAGAGCTAAAGTGTTAAAGTTGCGTAAATTAAACTCTTTAGTTTTAATTAAAAGGAGGATCAACGGGGAAAAAAAGACATATACACAGCAGAAAGCAGCGAAGGCTCCCCCGGAGGGCAAAGACGGACAGAACGAGCTGCCCGTAAATCTGAACACCGTCAGCAATAAGTGTAACGCACGGCGAAAAATATCGCAGTTGAATAAATGCAAAATGAAATTAACAATTAGGAAGGGGAAATAAAACTGGGCAATCAGCTTCCATATGAACAGCAGCAGCACAGGCGAAGAGCGACCTTGGATAATGAGGCTGCGAGCAGCCAAGGAAAGCGCTAAAATAGGACCAAATGGACCGCGATAATCAGAAAATGAAATAATGAACTAATTCCAATTTGATCTGGGAGAATTAATTCTTTTTCTGATGCCACGTTCCTTCGTTTGGCCGTTTGTGCATGTCCAGCGGCATATCGATTGCTGCAGTGCAAGTTCTTATTGTATGCACTGGAGCTGCTCCAATTCAAGTTTAGATTCATTTCAATTATTTTGTTTGAATTCGCATCTACACTCGCACTCTGGCTCCCATTTTAAGAGTTATATTTCAACTCGTCTTCTCTTCTTTGCTTTGTGTCTGCACTTGTTCTTAAAATAATGTACTCATGTTTCTGTTTGCATGCAGGCTGGGCTGTCTGCTTTTCGCTTTTCTTTCCTGTACAGCACTCCCACAGTCCTCTCTGACTAAATTTTTGCTGCGCGCTTGCCACAGCTAGCCAGCAGCAGCTAGCTGTTCATATAGCTAGCTTCCCAGCTAGACGCAACTGTCTCGCACTACACAGCTAGCCACGGCTAGCTAGCTGTCGCTACCAATGTCGGGTAAACTGCACCTAGCTAGCCCAAACTTGCTGGCCACAGCTAGCTAGCCACGAAGTCCTAGCCATAGCAAGCTAGCTAGCCACAGCCAGCTAACCACAGCCAGCAAGCCACAGTCGCAGCCTTCCCACAAGCTTGCATTTCTGTTCATCTTCTGTGGCTGCGGTGGCAATTATAACTAGGGTGCACTTACTAGCAGAAGCAGCAGCTGCAGCACTAGCAGCAGCAGCAGCGCCATTAGCAGCAGCAGCAGCAGCGCCGCTAGCAGCAACACCAGCTGGCCAAGGGGATGGAAATCTCATCTAGAAAACAAATTAAAATTAAGTAAGAGAGGAAAAGTGGGCATTTACACTATGTGCACATTTGCGTGCTTACAAAAGCAGCAGCAGCAGCAGCAGCAGCAGCAGCAGCAACTGCTGCTGCTGCTGCTCCTGCCGCGATCAGCCGTAATGGCGTTGCGCTTTCGCTGCAGATGCATCTTCCACCTGTGCATGCCTTGCTGCTGCTGAGGCTGCAGCGGAAGCTGCTGCTGCTGCTGCTGCTGCAGCATTAATCCCAATCAAAGAGCTCTAGGATCGTGCCTAGAAATCCCTGGGGAGTCCCCTCAATAGCTTCTTCTGGGGTTCCTACATATCTGATAAAACAAACAAGACAAAAAGGCTTTTAAATAATAAAACGAAGGGAAAATAAATGGGATTATTTAATTTGATTTCATATCATAAGTGTCCACTTACACTGGTTCCATTCCCATTGGGTGCTGGGGCCTGAAGGAGGTGCCACGTCTGCCTGCTGCGGCTTCTGCTGCAGCAGCTGCTGCTGCTGCGTCTGCTGCAGCATCGACTTGCGGCACTCTCGCGGCGTAGCAGGCGTCCAAGTCTGTGATGTTTCCGTAAGCCCGCAGAGCGTCTATGTTGCCTTCTACTGCTTCAGTTTCTCTGACCCGCAGCTGGTAAGTGAGGGTGACAGAGTAGTAAATGATCAGCAGCACGAAGCCGCCCATGAACAGGCTGGAAGCAGCAGCAACGTTGCTTTCGAAGTAGCACCACAGCAGCAGCACGTTGGAAACAAAAAAGCAAACGGTGCCCAACACAAACAAAAAAAATACCACTCCTTGTTCGCCTTTCATCTTATCTACAGCTTCGTCCACTGACCGCACCCCGTCGGGGCCCCGCAGGGCCAGCCCAGGGCCCCACATGCAGCAAAATGTAGTTGTTATTATGACGCATAGTTGCAAACCCAAAGATAATGCGGCCAGCAACAAATAAGAGGCCTCCAGCGCAAAAGGCAGGTGCTCAGGCAAGGAAGTGGTGATCTGCGAAAAGGCAAATCCAGCCAACAGCGCCGCTGCGAGCAAGATATAGCAGAGAAAAACAAATAAATTGCCATTTCACAAGTTCTTAAATCGGATTACTTCGTGATTATATTAAATTATTCGACAGCGAAACTGAAGGTGCTGGCGTCGGTGCTGACGTGTACAGGCAGGTTCGCGAATCGTGCAAGAAATGCGCTATTAGGAGGAAAGAATGCAATTGATCCCTGAACTTTTGAATAATCAATGCATAATAATTATTTGCAATAAAGAGAGAAGAAATGAACCAGTATTCTGAATTAATAGGCATCAAAACAGCTTCTTTGCTTGATCGATATTTACCCTGCTGTGACAGCGTCCAGTAATTGTTTGTATACCAGTCAAGCTCCAGCTGCCTGATTTCAACTTGCTGCTTCGCCACAGATGTCACCACCTGATTCTTGAGCAGCTGCAGCATCTTGTATAAATATTAAATCAATTGGATGACAAATTTCTTTGTATTCAATTCAATGTTGTGAGTGCAAGACAGAGGCGGCTACGTAGGCCAAATAGATTCACGCAGCAGCCAAGTCGAAGGCTCCGCTGCTGCCGCTGTTGCTTCTGCGGTGCTGCCGTATGCTCTCCTCAGAAGTTGTGCTCTCTGCTGCTGTTGGTGGCTGCTGCTGCTGCTGCAGCCACGGCAGCTGCTGCCGCCGCCCCCGCTGCTGCCGCCTCTGCAGCAGTTGCCGCTGCAAGCGCTGCCGCCTCGAAAACAGTTTGACCTCTGTTGTTTTGAAAACCCCTGATGTTGCGACCGATGCTGCTGCTGCTGCTGCTGATTTGGGAATGAGCAGCAGGGAGACTCGGAGCAGCTGCAGCAGCAGCGCCCGTGGTAGCAGCGGCCCTAATTACGTGTCTGCGGTCCCTTTCGCTTCAAGACAAAGGACAGATAAGGCCCAACCAACAGGAAAGTAGACAAGTGGGTTAGTGTTTAGGGTTTAGGGTTTTGGGCTTAAGGCTTGGCCGTTGCTGCTGCGTGTCGTTCGCCAGTCAGCCAACAGAAGCCGGCGGGAGAGAGAATGAACGAGAACGCAAAAGCCGTGTAAGACCTGGCAACAGAACAAAAACCGAAAATAAAACAAAGAGATTATTAAACGATTCATTTAAATGCACCATTGAAGCAAGGCGAGCCAGTCATGGGAAGCTTAAGGCCTTGGTCCCGCAGTCGGCGGCAGCGGCTCGTGTGGCTGCTGCTGCTGCGGTTTCACAAATACACACAGCCTGAGGCCATAAATTCAAAGTTTAACCTTTATTTATCTTCCAATTAATTTAAATGTCTTTTTTCGACTCAAAGTTGAATAAGCCTACATGCTGATTGGCTCAGCTCGCTTCCGGTGTTGCGCAGCAGCAAGTGGCAATGGACCGAACCACGGCAAACTCCAGACAGCGGTGAAGAGGAACATGTAGTTCACTACCGTATATTAAATTCGAAGCACCTTTATTTAGCGCACTAAATGAAATAAATTCTAGTTCGAGATTAAATAATTCAATTCAAATTGATGCAGCGCAACTCTTGAGGCTACCTGCACGTGCGCGCCCTGATCGCTGAAACCAAATGATAAATCAGTTCTCGAAGAAGTCCTTCTCGTCATTTCGTTTATAATGGATTCTAATTAAATTTATTTTGCTTTCCTTAATGAATTCTTTGAAACATCATAACCTGTTCGACATCACTACTGTAAGTTGCACCACTTGGGAAGGAAGAAGAAACACAGAAATGTGTCATTAATGCCTGAATCTCTTCTGAAACATCTGCATTCCCTCTTAAAAATATAATTGTAAAACTGTACTTTTGTCCGAACCCAACGCCCCACGACGAGGAAACCCCATTCGTAAACTATGTCCATCGTGCATCACAGAAGAACTTAGTAAGTCATCTGTGTCTGCAGTCACTCCCGTTGTACTTGGATTCCTTTGTTTATGCATAAACTAAACTCGCATTACTTAGGGCTATGAGCTCTGCAGGATCAAGCGGCAGCAGCAATTGAAACACAGCAGCAGCCGCAGCAGCAGCAGAGGCAGCAGCAGCAATAGGCGCAGCGGCAGTAGAGGCAGCAGCAGCAATAGACACTGTAGCAAAAGAGGCAGCAGCAGCAACATACGCACCAGCAGTAGAAGCAGCAGCAGTAGACGCTGCAGCAGCAGGCACACCCAATGCTGCCACCAGAGTAACCTCTAATGATTTGGGACAGACTGCATGAATTAAGACACAAGAACGAAACAGTACCCCAACTTATTCTCAAATCAAATTCCTTTTGCTCAGACAAACAAGAGCAACTGATGTGGCCCCCAAGAATGTAAGCCGTAACAGGGGCCCCTGGGGGCCTCGGAGGGGCACCTAAGTGGGCTCCAGGGGCCCCCGCAAATGCCTTTTTGGCAGCTTCTAATGAGGCCAAAAGGCAACAGTTTGGCGAGACCATTTCGGGCCACAAAACGGATCTTTGAGGCCCCTAAAAGGTCCCCAAAAGGACCCCTTAAAGGCGTTTTTGCGGGCCCCCCCTTAGGGTTAAAGGGCCCCTCCAAAGGAACAACAGGCCAAGTAGAACCACCCAGAAGACCGCAAGGGGCCCTTATAGGGGATTATACGATCGAAGTTAGTCTTTGTTTGATTTTTGTTGCACAATATGCTGGCTTTTGACCATTTAATGCAGCAACTTCAATTGCATTTGACTACTTTCCAACTCCTGCTGCGCGCAGCGCAGCCCGTATTTCCTCATAGTGAGGCACTGAGCAGATGTCGCCGTAAGCCACCACAGTGGGAGGCTTCGAGAACATCTTTTCTGCTACCCTGAAAATAAAAAAGAAATCAAATTTTAAAAAAAGGAAAATGAATTGGAATATGCTACCCTGAAAATAAAAAAGAAATCAAATGAATAAAAGGAAGATGAATTGGCAAAAACAGGCCCAACAAGCACACCATTAAGCTACCATGAGAATTAAAAAAGAACAAATCGATTAAAGGAAAATGAATTGGCAAAAAGGCTCATCAAGCACGTAATTAAGTGGATTCATTGCTCTTTGCAAGAAACAAAAGCACCAAAAGAACGCCTCCAAATGCAACATCGAGATGGCTGGCGAAGGCAACATACAAGCAAGTGTACGTACACGCAGATGAAAATGTGAAGCACAAACGAATGGACAAAGCAGCAGTCAAACAACCAAATAAACAAATAAATAAAAAAGCAAATTCTGACCTCCTTATGTCTGCCTCCTTCACGTTGTCGATAGCTCGGCAAAACTCAGCAGGGGATATTACGCGACCGCTCATCAGCAACTGGCGGCCTGAAGTAACAGAAAACACTCTACTGCTGTGCTGCTGCTGTTAGAGCACTCCTGCTGCAGCGCTGCTGCACCACGCCTCCTCATAAACTATGCTCTGCTGCTGTGCTGCTGCCGTCGCAGCACTCTTGCTGCAGCACTGCTGCACCACGCCCGCTACTGTTGCTGCTGTTATTGTATCTGCTAAGGGACCGGTGCCACAGTTGCTAACTCATCATAAACTATAAAGTCCTCCAAATGCTTATTCGCGGAGCCTCTGACCCTTCACTTGGCCACGTACCTATGTCTTCCATAACAATGCCTCTGTTTTCTAAGTTCATGTAAATGGAACTCTTTATTGAGTTTTTGGCTCTCTGCAGCTCCTCGGCAGTCACACGTGTCATTCCCGCAAACTGTTCGGCAATCACCTTTACAGCACTTGAGGCCTGAAAAAGACAAAAAGCACTCACCGATTCGTCTGAATGGTTATTTGCCAGTTGTTTTCCACCTAAAGTGTGACTGCAGCGAATCAGCAAGAAAGTGCAGGTGTACGTACGCCGAAGCAACGGTGTACGTACAACCAAGCTACCCAGCTTACCTTGTTCGGGTTGGCCAGCATGTAAAGGCCAAAGAGGCCGGTGTCTGTGTATTGCGTGTTGAAGGCCATGGCGCTCTCGACCCAGTCATACTTGTTCAAAACGTTCAGGTATAACCGGGTGTACATACCCTTTCCTGGGCCTCCAGTACTGAAGGCCCCGCCCCCTCCCATGAGAGTCTGCAGGACGCTGTAGGTCACCAAGTCCCCCCCGTTCCAGCCTCCAGGCTTTGTCGAGATTTGCCAAGAAGTAGTTGTTCCGCGTTCAATATCATTAGTTTAGACAGGAAGAGAGACACACAGATAATGCCACACACACACACACACACACAACACACATGCATAAAAATATAACGTTTTGTTAGCATATCCGCATGCATTAGTACATTTTTAGGTTCAGCAGAAATGGTTCTTCGTGCGAGAAATTCTGAATGGAGAATCGTGCATATATTAACACAAGACAAAAAAGACGCTGACTTGAATCAAGCAGGTATTCTTTCTTACCGTTTCAAATGCCACAGCAATATGTGCATGGGGCGCCAGCGCTTCAACTCTGCTGTCTCCTCCAGTATATATTGGCTGGATATATTTTCGGGGTTTGTTTGGGACAGCATTGTAGTCTACAAAGGCCCTCATTACCCAACGGCTGAATTCCTCATGGTTTACGTTCACGCCCACGCATACCATGTTTTCTGAGACAAACAAATGGAACAGTCAATAAGCCAGAAGTGCGTCCCATATAAAATTCATGTTCCTATTCTTCTATAATACAAACAATTTGTTGTGAAATAAATGAACGCCCATGCATGCCGAACAAACGGCGAAAATAGTGAAACGGTCAAAATTACTGCTGATCGTTCATGTTGCTGTTCTTGTGCAAGTGCATAATATTATATTGCGAAATATATGAAGCGGAATTTAATAGCATGGTAAGACAAGTGACGCTTCACAGCATGGATACTTCGCGGGTTCCACTGTGCTTAGCCTTTGCTGTCCCACTAAGGGCTTTATGCGAGTAATGTTGGATGCGCCTAGGATGTTTCACTACGTGCTTCGTCAGGGTTTAGCTTTTAGGGTTTAGGGTTTACCTGGGGAAAAGTGGTCGAGTATGAACTGCCGAATGGTGTTTGCGTCATAGTGCTGGAGGCTTTTTTCTGTGGCGAAGAGCTTAAGCCCCAGGGTGTTGTTATGCCAAGCAGTTTGGTGCAGCATCTCAGAAACACACTGATCAGGCTGGCTTTCTATTTTTTGCTTCATTTGAATCAGTTTGTTTTTGTTTGCCGATATTTCCCACGGCAGCAAACGGGGAAACAAGACGTTTCCAGTCAACATCGGCAGCAACAGAGGCATCTTCTCGCGCACGCACTCGGCGCTATACACGATCTGCTCCCTGAAAAAACAGAAAAATTGTTTTAAAAGTAAATTCATACAACTCCTTACTCCTTGAACCGAGCCAGAGCACTGATAGACAACACTTGAATCTGGACAGCACCCCGTAATGGAAAATAAAAACTTTATTATTGACTACATGCAAACAGAGTGCAAACAGAGTTCTACTATTCACTTATCCTATAATTACCTGCCCGCCACACAAGCTGCAGAGGCTCCCAAAACTTCTATTGTTTTGATTGTCCGCAAAAACGACAAATGGGCAGTTGAATGGAAGGCGAGCAGCTGCAGCATGTGGCTCACTCCGCTGTTGCTCACATCTTCCCAGCGGCTCCCTATAAATAAGCATAAGCAGATTAATGTGACTGCATCAGTTCAAAAATTCATCAACGAAGTGGCATTGTGTGCAAAACAAAGCAGAGGCAAGAAACGAACAGCTGTAGCACCGGGCTCGCGCCGCCGTTGTCCACATTCTCCCATAGCTCCTTATGAATGTGTAACTACTACCTAAGGCGCTGGCTCAAATTGGTTTTTCTAGTTGTTTGACCATAGCACCAAAATACTGAAGAAGCTAGAAACAGACGCAGAGCAAGGGGAAAAAAGCCAACTGACGACTTGACAAGAAAAATGAGAAAATGATAAGCTTACCCGTGTTGACGAACAAACCCAGAGAAGAAACCAAACCTCCTCTGTCTACAGAAGCAATCCGAAGGCCATTGTCCAGTTTGGAGTACTCAACTGCGCCGCTGGGCTGGACGTATTCAGGAAACTGATCCTGCGGCAATGACACACGAATGACAGTCAACATCTGTTGGGTTCTACACATAAATTTTGGAATACTGATATATGTGACTACAACACAAACTCAAACTAAACACAAACGGACACAGTTCAGGAACAGAAACGCGAAAAGAGACTCAACAAAGACGGAGATGAACGGACACAACTGCATATAACATAACGATTACTAGCTAACCGGATTAAGTATGGGTTGGTCCATGGGCACGTCCTTGTAAGGGTAGGCGGAGGGCGCCTCATTGCCGATGTAATAGTACTTGAAGTCAGGCACCTCCTGCATAACCAGAGAGAGGTCTTCACGCACAAACGGCACGCGGCGGTACTGCGGCTGCTGCCCTGCTGCTGCTGCTGCTGCAGCCGGTGCAGCAGTTGCTGTCGTCTGTGGGGGGGCCGCCGTTGCCAGTGGCCTTTGAGGAGGTGAGAGGCTGCCGCGGTTAAATATTGCATTCAATTTATTTCTAATTAATGAATTAAGCGGCAAAGATGATCCAGCCTCGCCCGAAGTCGACGCAGACTGGACGGCCAACCGCCGGAAGGCGGACAGCACCCCCAACGCCATTCTCTCTATGCTCTGAAATCAGCAAGGCTTCACTTTCTAAGTATCTCCTCTCCCCCTACAAAATTGAACTGTAACAAGCAGTCACGAAACTGCTAAGAAAACCAGCCGCAGCAGCAGCCGCTGCAGCCGCTGCGGCTGCCGCTGGCTGCATGCAAACGCCGCAAATGCGTCCTTCCAAGGTGATATATTGCTGCCTTCCTCTCTACTTGTGTTTTAGACGCAAACTGCAGTAGGAAAGGCTAAGACCGGGAATAGCAAGGGTGTGTTCCGAGCAAACCTCGGCAAACTCGCATACGCACTCCTACACCAGGTTACAAGCTGACTTGATCATGGGTGTATCAATATCTATGTTTACAAAGGCGCTCATGGTGTAAATAAATATATGCATGATATGTGCTGCTTAGGTTTCGGTGCATGTGTGCTTGCGTCCCGCCCAGTCAAGTGTGGGGAAGATCCCTAGGCAGAAGTTGATGGCCAACCAGAGCACCCCACCGCCTGCTACACTTGCTGTAGGGTACTTCGCTTTCCGTAGATAACACACACACAAAGCAACAGGGGAAGCAGCAGATGCAGAACTGCTCATTAGCTTTTAGCTCCAACCTGCTTCTACACCAGCTTCGCCAGTGCGGTCTGAAAGCGGGTGGACACAGCAGCTTTCTGGCCAGACGGTCTGATGCTGCTAGCCACACTGCTCACTACTCAGCTATTGTGTTCTGCCTGACTGCTTCATAACTCGCAACTGCAGTGCATTGCCGCACCAGCTAGCTAGGACAGCCCTTACATCTGAAACACCGGTCAACACAAAGCCAAAATATGCGCAGCAGCAGAAGCAGCTGCCGTGCGTCTTGGAACTCTTTTGAACGTAAAGGCAACCAAAACGGCAAACGAAACACCGAATTACGAGCAACTACAGCAGCAACAGTGAATTCAGCAGCTGCTACTGCTGCTGCTGCGGCAGCACCCTTCAAGGCGGGACTAAACGCTGCGTGTTCTAAATGAGACAAACCGAAGCGCAGCAGTTGCTAGTGCTGCAGAAACGGCCTGAGGAGCAAATGAGTCTCCGTCGATGCCGCAAGCTAGCCAGCTAGCAGTGGGCTCCTTCGCTAAAGACACGAGACAGTCAGCTGGCTAGCTACGTAACTTCCATTTCTTTCACTGCCTACATGAAGTGGCAGTCTACCTGTTCTGCCGCCAACTTCATCTCCAATCTTTCTTTTCAGCTTTCTGCCTGTCGCTGCTATCCTGAATTTTCCTGTAAGATTGGTGTTTGTGGCTGTGCTGCAGTAGCTAGATCTTCTGCAACCGCCGCAGCAGCACGATCAGCAGCAGCAGCAGCAGGAACTGCCACTGTGTTTCTCCTCCCAGAAGCCCCCAGAAGGCCCGAGACCTGGTGTTGATTGGTGGGGTCAGTGAGAGTGACATCAGCAAATCTGATTCGCCCTGTTAAGTCTGCAGTTTTCCTCCTGTCCCAAGCAGCACCCATGGGAGATAAGTGAAGAGCTCCTGCTCCTGCTGCTGCAACTGCTGCTGCATCTGCCTCAGCTGAGGACCGGAGGATGCCACGTTTCTCGAGACCACGATCTGCCAAGCAGAAAATAACGAAGACCAAATGCAGCACAAGTGTACCAGCAGCAACGCGCAGTGCAGCAGAGCAGCAACAGCAGCAACTCCAGCAGCAGGCAGCAATTCGTGCTGACCTTTGGCCCTCGCAGCTGCAACAAGGGTCACGATATCTGCGAATCTTTGTGCGCCTGCGTGAGGTGTCCTTTGCTGCTGCTGGTGGCTAGCTGCTAGTTCTTTAGCAGCAGCTTTCCACAAACTCCTTGCCTTCTCCCGTGCCGCTGTTCCTGCCGTCTGTGCTGCCGTTCTGGCCCGGATCTTCCAAGCCTCTTCTTTTGTTTCCGAGTCTTCTGCACCAGGCACATGCCCCCCTAAGCAGCAGCAGCACCAGCCGGAGCAAAGAAGCAGCAGCGTGAAGCAACCACAGCTCCAGTAACAAAGAGCATCACGGTGAAGCAGCAGCAGCAGAAGCAAACAAGAACCGCTCAGCGCCACGAAGCAACAAAAGCGGCCGCAGCATCACAAACGGCCTATGCAGGCTTTGCAGGGGCTAGCGAATAATATTACGGCGGGGAAGCGCGGCGATTGTAAAGACAGCAGCAGCAGCAGCAGCAGCAGCCTGTGTACAGCAGCAGCAGCAGCAGCAGCAGCAGCAGCAACCTGTGTACATGCTTCAGCAGAGGCTGCTTGCCTTTCTCTGTGTCTATGAGCTCCTGGCGCAGCTGCACTGCTTTCTGGAGGCAGCCGGCGAGGCCGCCCATATCTTTGAAGGTCATTCGGCGGGTGACCCTTCGGACAATGGGCTCTGGGGTGGGCTCTCTGGGGCTGTCAGTGTCTTGGCTGCTTTCGCTGACGGAGTCTGCTGCGCTGCCTCTGCCGCTGCTGCCTCCTGCTGCAGCCCCCCGCGCTGCCCAGGGAAAGGAACCGGAGTCTGAGCCCGAGCCCCAGTTGCGGGTGAGCCCCCGAGAGAAGTTGGTGGTCATTAGGCGGTCCAAGGCGTTGCCTATTTCGTCCACGCCTCCTTCAGACTCTGCGCCGGAAGCTTGGCGAGACACTCCAGACGCGGGGCTGCTGCTGCTGCTGCTGCTGCTGCTGCTGGAGTCCGAGCTCTTGAACGCCACCACACTCACTCCACGACGGCGCGGCTTAGAGGGTTCTGCGGGCGAAGCTGCAGCTGCTCGCGCTGCGCCTGCTCCTGGGGATGATGAGACAGCCAAATCTGAAGAGTCGGAACTCAGAGGCTGCTGACATGATTCTGCTGCTGCTGCGTCTGCTGCTTCTTCTGGTGCTCTCTTGACCGGAGAGGCATCACCGTCTGCGCTGCCAGCAACAGCTGCTGCTGCAACAGCTCTGCTGTCAGCATCTCGCTGGTATTGCTCATGCTGCTGCTGGTCTTGCGGTGGCTGCTCCTGCTCAGCCGCGGGCTCGGCTGCGGCTACATCTGTCTGTTCACTCTCAGGGCACAGCTCCCATTGGCCAAGTGCCGTGTTATAGACCCACCACTGCTGGGCTACGGAATCATAGTAGTACTGGGGCTCATCTGACTCCCCCATCGTACTCAGCGTAGTAATGCTGCTCCACGCACTGCTGCTGCTGCTGCGGCTGCGTACTACGCAGCTGCTGCTGCACCTGCAGCGTCGCAAGCACAACTCGCTGGTCAACCCCCTTCTCTGTGGCCGTACTTTACACTGGGCAGGTTAAAATTTACAAGAAATAGGAGAAGAAAGGAACATCAGCTTCAGTAGCACGGTGAGGCCACAAGAACCATCGGCTTGCGCACAAGAAGCCCCTACAGAGTTACACGAAGTACCGCTGACTGCGTTTGAAGCAGCAACTCAAAAAAATAACAAGGGGTAGAAGGGATAAGTTCACAGAGAGAGGAAGTGTGCATGACCGCCTAGATCTAAGTAAAGGGTGGTCGTGTGTGGAACGAGCACAGCGGACACTAGGCCTCCTGTGGAGGCAGCATGCAGCTCCCCGTTTCTTCACTATATAAGTAAATATCCCCTATGTTTTCAAATAGGGCTGGAAGGCTCGACTAAATGATGAGCGAAAACCCTCATGAAATAGAGCGTTGTCAACAGCTGAAGCACGGCGGCGGCAGCTGAGGCGGATGGGCACGTAAGCCTGGACTTTCTCGCGCGAAAGTCGAGCCTCACAAGCAAAAGCATACGGACGTTTCCCGTACTTATGCAGTCATAATCAAGTGTTTCTCTTAACGTTGGCACGTTCCGAAGTCGCTCGACCTCACAGAGGTGGAGAAATACAGTAGTGACAACAGAGAGGACTCCACCGTCAGTAGAGCGTTCGCTCACCCCACACTAAAATTCAGCGGCTTAGCACACAACCAACTGCCTAATTTACGAAGGGCGTCGGGAAAAAGCAGCAGCCAGAGAACCCGCATGCAAGCACGGCGACGGATATTGGCCGAAGCACGGCGACGGGTATTGGCCGAAGCCAAGAACGTTCCACTAAGGATTTAAAAATATTTAAACGAAAGCTTGAAACAGAGGTGCCATTTGTCTTGACTGCCGCTCGGCAGATTGCCTGCTAAGGCACCTTCTGTGATCGGGATTTTGTCAGCTCCTCAAACGAAGACTGGCACAGGCCGCATCGGGGAAGGCTCTTTAGCAGACTGTCCGCCGAGCCGCTGCCGCGCCGCAGCTGAGATAAATGACAACTCTGATTCCTGTTATGCAAACTCCTGTGTCTGTAATCCGCCTTTTCGAGTCAAGGGGGGCAAAGACTTGCTTGCCGTTGCTACGTGGCAGTGGCAAGCGAACGAGCAGCTGAAGAAACGCACGCGCAAGCACAAAAAGAATTCGCACGCCGCATGCTCCATTCTGGACCAATTGATGAATTTGGGCGTGTTCACCAGTGCCAGGGTGACAGAGACGGCATGTTATCCTACCCGCAGAAGCTGTCCAGGGGCCTCCCTCTGCGTATTTAAAGAAAGCCTCGCAAAAGGAAGGGTCCAATGCATTGCGCAGCCAGTCGCGTTGTGCTGCACACGCTGCGGAGGCGAAGGCATGCTTGGCCAGACGCACTGCGACCACATACAGATGCCGAATCTAGTCTGCAATAGCGCATGCATATTAGGTTCATAGACGTTTACACCTCTGCACACCACTGCGTAAATCTAGTTCACAAATTAAAAACGTACCTTCATACTGGGTGTCGCTAGAGGGGTCCACCATCAGCTGCCTGAAACCCTCTGATGCAAAGAGCATCTGCATGGGCTCAGCATCAACCGTCAGAGCTGATACACAGACGACGCACACTGCACATACTGCAAAAGACTTGCAAAAACTTTGCATTAGTTGCGAAAGAGACCAGAAGAGAACAGCGTAAGCGGCAGCAGCACACAAGCATTGGGAGTAGCAGCCAGCAGTAGTGTCTGCGTTTCTGCCGCTGAGGGCGCCGGCTGCTGTTTCGACAGCAACAGAAGCTGAACTTACCCTTAAGCAATTCGTAACATTGCTGGCGAGCCTCAGGAAAAGGACGCTGAAGAACACAATCCAGCAACTGCATGCAAACGCAGCCAAAGCGGGCAGCAAGTGCCCCGAACGGCAGCAGAGACCAGCACAACCAAAACAGCAACCAGCGGGTGACTAGCAGTTCCAGCAGCAGCTGTGGCACTTGCCTTGGATGCTAGGTTGGAATCTACTGTCCGTTTCAGTTGCTGAGGCAGCACTGCAGGGTCCTTGCTGCAGCGCCGCGCAGCATCAGCATGACACCAAACGGCAACTCAACCCAGAAGAACCCCAGCAGGGCAGCAATAGCAAGGACAACAGCAGTATGGGCAGCAGCAGCAGACGAAGAAACCTACACATCTTGCAGCACGCATGACCACGCGCGGAGTGCAGCCACAGACACATCTTCCACATCCATCACGGCCTCCGCCACCTGAGAGGCACCAGCAACCCGAGGCTACGGCTGCTCATTATGCTGCACTACGCCTGCTCAAGCAAGCTGCAGGAACACCTAAAAACATAGCTTCACTACTTGCCAGGTCTGCAGATGACGGTAGCTGCTCTAGCACCGTTGCCGAGCACTCTGGTTTGGAGAAAAGAATACTCCAACACACAATTCCTTCTTCCTGCAGCGGCAGAAGCAGCAACACAGCCGGCCACAAAAACCTGAAGACCTCCAGAAGCTTAGCAGGAATACCAGGCAGATGACGGATAGTCTGCTCCCGTCTACAGATACATCTGTGTCGCCGACCTTGTGACGTTTGGAAGACGACGTGAGACAGGTCTGCAAAGCAAACAGCCAGGAGCAGCAACAGCAAGAAGCCTAGAGAGCAACAGCCAGTAGCACTTACAGCCACGAGCAGCAACAGCAAGAAGCCTAGAGAGCAGCAGCCGGTACCAGTCACAGCAACAATAGCACGCCTAGTAATAGCCAGTAGCAGTAACAGCCTGGAGAGCAACAGCCGGTACCAGTCACGGCAACAGTAGCACGCCAAGTAATAGGCAGTAGCAGTAACAGCAACAATAGCACGCCTAGTAATAACCAGAGGCTGAGAAAAACGAACCTCAATAGCATTTTTCAGCACTCCTCCCTCCGCGTTGAGTATCCTAGTGCACTCAGAAGGCCGCTGTACAAAGACACACACCAAATAAAACACACAGCAAACCAAAGCCATATACTACAACCAAGGAATTGAGCAAGCGCAGCCACTGCAGCAGGCCGACGTAACGCGAAACAACACAAGCCGGTGTAGCTGAAGTAAAAGCAATAGCAGCAAACCTCGACGGCCATGCGGCAGAGCAGTCTTAGCAGTGTCTGACTGTTTAACACGTCCTCCTCTGTGGCAATGAGCCTGAGCAACTCAGCAGTGACAAAGAGCCCACCACTGCAAGCGTAGCAAGTGCAGCAACCGCTGCAGCAACAGTGGCAGTGGCAAACCCCTCACAGCAGTAGCAGCAACAACAGAAGCATCACCAAAAATACCTCGCAATTCGCTCGGGATATTCATTCCTAACGGCGTAGTCCGCTCCCCAGGAGACGCTTACTAGCTGGAACAGTAGCACCCATACACAGCAGCAGGTACACGCTGGACCTGCCACTACCTTGCATCTAACGCTGTTTATGCAGCCATAAAAAGAGGGAAAACTGCCGCCGAAACAAAAAGAGCAGGGCAGCACTGGCAGCTCCCACAGCACTGTTATCTGACCGCAGATAGCAAGTCGCTTGCATTTGCCTGCAACAGCGGGTCCTTGTTGTTTTCAACCAGCTGCTGGAGCCGCGACAGCATTTGGGGAGAAGCAGCAAGAAGGGCGGAAAAAAACGACTCGTGCTGCACTGAGCCGTGAATCAGCGGGCTTAAAACCCTGAAAGAAATAGTCTGTGAAGACACCCCAAGCACAAAGAAAAGCACAGATCCTGCAGCTTCCACTGATGCCGCAGTTGTTTCAGAATCGAAGACACCCCAAGCACAAAAAAGAGCAGAGTTCCTGCAGCTTCCACTGATGCAGCAGTTGCTTCAGAATCTGTGAATTGCCGTGCGCTTGCGGTGTTTATAACCGATCTAAAGCAGAAACCCAGGAACGCTTAAACCCTGGAAAGTGACAGACATCAGATGACTCCATCGCCAGTCTCTGCAGCTCGCCGAAGAATGCGCCTTCAAAAACATAACGAGGAGCGGAATCTGCCGCGCACACCTGCACACAAGCAAATCTAGTTTTAAGAAACAGGCAATTTTTTGAGGCTAGAAAGCCGCACATCGTGACGTGGGAACTTTCTGTTCTCATGGCTAGTGGCATCTGACTTGCTGCTTCCACTGCTGTTCCTAATCTCGTGGCCGCTTATGTCTGACTTACTGCTGCCAGTGCTGTTTCTGCTCTCATGGCCACTGATGTCTCTGCATCTCCGAGGAGGGAAATGAGCTGCCTGTTCAGCTCCAGATTCCACAAATACCGTATACCTGGGGCAGCAGACACACCAGCATTGGCACTGGCAAGCTCCAGCGCAGAAGCAGAAGTCGCAGCGCGAGCCCAAGAGACGCAGCTAGTGCTCGCTGGACTAAGAATACTGGTATCTTGTTGCTGACTTACCTGAATCACCCTTCTTGGCTATCTGCTGTACTTGCTGCGCCAGCAGTTCTCTTATTGCTGTCAAAGGACTCGCAGCAGCCGCAGTCAGCAACGGCCTCATCTGCAGCGGCAGGAGCGCAGAAACGCGTGCAAGCCCATCACATTAACAGGAAACTGATAAGCAGAGGCGGTTACGGCGCCTTAGGCGCGGCATGATTCATTAGAACGGGAACGCGGTCAGAGGCGCACCTCAGTTTGGGCCAGTATTGAGTCCCTGAGTTCTTCCACATCAAAGCACCTCTTGATGGTGCTCAACAACAATGTGAGGAGCAGATTCAGGTCCGCTAGGGCATCTGTGTCTCCTTCTGCTGCTGCACGCTTCGCAGCAGCAGCAGCTGCCTCCTGCTCTGCTTCTGTGGTAGCATGCTGCTGAAGAGAGATAGCATCAGCCGCTGCTGCCGTCTGCAGCAGCAGTTCACTTGCTGAAATCTGCTGCAACAAAGAAAGGACACGTT